ATATAATGCCTCGTCACAGAGGCAAGTTTCTCTCTTTCACCTGAGGACGATCGCTTGTTGTTGCGATCGAAACGTCGTGAGCTATTTATTTATTTTTCTATCTACGTTACTTTACCGAAATTACCTAAGAATATGAAATCCTGCAGTCACAAACGCTTATAATCAAGACACATTGCAATTCCTTACAGGTGAATCGCATGCCAAGTGGCTGATTACTGATCTATTACATAATTGCATACACCCCGCCTCTGATCTCGAAACCTGATGGGGTACAACGATGATGACGTCATCCTGCACGATTTAAGACCGAAGCAGGTGGATGGCTTCACTATTGTTAACACACGTGTGTTAACAATTGATTACATACACACGTGTGTTAACAATTGTTACATACACACGTGTTAATTGCCAATGGACATGGCGCGTCACGTCCTTTGGCCGAGGGGCGCAGACAGCGACTGGCAGGCGGCGGTAACTTTGCGATGTTTGGCACATGCCTCCACACCGCTTCGGAGATGCTTATCTGAGACACTTTTAAGGCAGTGAACTTTTGCGATAATTCCCTGTGTTGCAATGACCGTGGTCTTATCTCGGTTGAAAATAAATAAATATGCATGCAAATAAAATCGGAACAATCTTCTCACTCTCCAGAAAGCATTGCTCTCCCCGTGTTGTGGACGGGCATTGCATAAACACGTGTTAACAATTCGTTACATGCACACGCGTGTTAACAATTCATTACATGCACACGTGTGTTAACAATTCATTACAAACACACGCGTGTTAACAGTTCATTACATACACACGTGTGTTAATAGTTTATTACATACACACGTGTGTTAACAATTCGTTACATATACGTGTGTTAACCATTCATCACACACACACGTGTGTTAACATTTCTGATAACAAAACCGCAAAACTACGTCTCGGTGTTCTCACGATATTTTAGTAACTAGTGCCGTGTGTGACCAATTCCAACATTTAGGAAAGGCAATACAATAACAATGCACCGTACTTTTTCTATCGACTGCTGGATGGAGGCCTTCCGACAACCCTCTCCCTGTTCCAGTCGAAGTGTGGTCACTCGTTGTGAACTCAAGTGTTACTCTCACACGAGTACCGGCGTTGGTAGAAGATCGGGTTCATTGTCGTTCACTGGAACCGGTAGGAACTCGTCTTGATGAACTATCTATTTTACGATGATTTTACTGGTAACGCCACTTGTAAGGCGATTGAAGTTTTCTATTTGCTTGGAGGTGTTTTTTTTCTTCATTTTAGAGGCGCGCACACTGCTCCGTTGTTGTGACTTCGCTTAACTTAACTGTGTGATCGTCTTTCTCTCAAGCTAAATAGTTTCCCCCATGTCCTCAAAGTGGCTAAATTCATCACACGAGTATTTATTTAAATGAAGTCAATGACTTGTATCTTGGTGACACTGATTTAAACGTTTTTGCGTCGGAAAATTGGTAATAAACCTTGTACACTTTACAGAAGAAAAAAACCAAGATTTTCAACATTTCGTAGATACTTGTAGTGTTGATCTTAACTCTACTGGCATAAGGAAATTCACAATGCACGTGGGTACACGTTTGTGTACTTCATTGCATTGCGAAATATTTCAACACGTTGTGTAAGTTTTCATTTTGCGTACTTTGGGTTTGAAAGCAAACGCTGCGGGTGTGCCGTATGATGGTGACTCCGCCGCGTGTTTGAGGGTGGCGCTGCTACGTTGCGTGTGGTCGGGAATCACCATTGTCACCATCAGCCATGCTCTTTCCGCTGTTGGATTTGAAGGCTTCCCGAAGCCGTCGCTACTGAAGAATCCATCGAGCTTCCGCACACGAGACGATTTCATCGCTCCATCTCCACAATGGGCGTCCTCTCGTGCGCATTCCCTCCTTTGGCTGCCCGCTCCTCTCGAGGAGAGGTCATCGTCACGCCTCGGCCTCTCACAGCCACGTCTCCTGGTCGAGCTCACCTTTGTTCAGACTAAGTTATGATGTCTTGAATTTCCTCGGGTGTGATATATACACGTTGTTGGATCTTCACTCTATTACAAAATAAAACCCTGTAGAAAGGAATGGTTGAATTTCGGAAGTGATCCATGGAGCCTGTGCCAGGTGACTGAGGCACACCGGCTCTCGGCTCTCACGATAACAGGTACTGCAGGGCACGTACCAGCCCTTGCACAATCTCTGGAGGAGGTAGTCAAATACCGCTTCTGAAATCTATCCCGTGGGGTTTCACGTCCATTTTACAGACGCCAGGTGCCCTAACCGGGAATTTCCATTTCAAGTTCGACGCAGAAGCCGTGATTCGGCGGCGAGGAATGTAAAGGCAGTGGCATCTCGTCGCGCAGAGCTCGAACCCAGACAATGCCCCCTTCACCTGCCTGCCTCTCCAAACAAAAGTAAATATACAAATCTATTCATGGAAAAACCAGACGGCGTTCTAGGAGAACAGGTTCCTAGGAGAGGTCGGCAGGACTCTCCCAGGTCCTTGTGGCTGCGTCACGTGCCACAGATTCAGTCGCGCGTTCCACAAACAGCGCGGAAAGCTGCAGAGATGGATTGTGTTGGCTTCACAAATTCACAAGCATCGGCAGCAAAATCAATCCCTTCTGGCTCTCGTGGCGCAGCTGCTCCTCTGCAGTTGTGACCTGGGCGCAGACAACCTGCAATGCGCTCGGGGGAGTCATTTTAATTTGAGACGTTAGACCAGAGGCGCACACAATGGTCGTTGTGTGACTTTGTGCAATACCAACAGGCAACAACCTCACGTCCTTTGGAAATGACCATGCTTCGGTTCGTCCCCTCCCTGCAGCCAGCCAGCCAGCAACACTGTTGCCACGCCGTATATACAATGCCTTTTTGAAATAATTGTGTAGGGCAAGGTCTCTACAACTGTTGCATACTTTGCATTTTGCGTGTTTCAAGTTGTAAAGAAACACTCCGTATGTTTGCTCACCTGGGCGTGCGGGCTGCGATGATGCTGGCGAACGATACGTGCGATTATAGAGTGCGGTATATTGTGTCTGCGTCCTAGCTACTATGTTGGTACACGAAGAAATGGAAACGTTTTTGGGAGTCAAGAGAACGACATGTTCTCGACATTGCATGCTCCGTATGCACGGGATGCCATTGAGAGTTCACCTTGGGAGGGCGGCACCACCAAGGTGGTGAGGACTGCGCGACCACCACGGGAGGGTCTGGAAACACGAGGGGGAGCGGGTGAAGAGGTCTGCACCTTCATTGGGGGTCGGCATTAATTAATGTCGACTGCGATATTTGTGTGGCATGTGGTGTTCATGCGTATGACTACAATGTGCCGTTCATGCGTTATTTTCACAGTTTAAAGCTACTTTTCATCCGCAATCCATTGTATTTTTTCTGTTCTACTCGTGGAAAAAGCAATTGTAGCTGAGTTTAAGGCTGGAGTTAGCAGATAAGTGCTGTCATCTGCTGTTCCCATCGCGTCACTGCAGCTCGAACATTAAATCTGCGGTAAAAAAAATTAGACTTAACTTTCGTGACTGCAGGAATTCATATTCTTTGGTTCTTTCGATAAAGTCACGGTAGAATAAAACATAAAATAACCACGACGTTTCGATCGCAACACAAGCGGCTGAAACGTCGTGGTTATTTTTATTCAACGTGACTTTACCGAAAGAACCAAATAATATTAAAACTGCGGTTAGCGTTGCTGGCTTCAATAATGTAGCCACACGTTGCCTGTTTCTGGTACGGCTTGTTCATGTGTGACTGGTGTTTGAGTGACGTTTGATGTTCGTGTGACATGCGATGGTCATGCGTGGGACATGCGACGTTCATTCGTGGTCAAAGCGATTGGCGCTGGGTTTCAGGCTGGAGTTGGCGGACATGTGCTGCCCTCTGCCGTTCCCATCGCGTCATCTCAGCTCGAACATTAAAACTGCATACTCTTTGGTTCTTTCGGTAAAGGTACGTAGATAGCAAACTAATAATACAAATATTTAAAAAACCACTAATGTAGTACTCACCCAGCTTAATAACCATTGCTACATTCTACATTATAGACTGCCAGTACTCACCCAGCTTAATAACCAGGCGACAATCCATATTATAGATTGCCAGTACACTCACCAAACTTAATAACCAGGCTACAGTCTACATTATAGACTGCCAGTACTCACCCAGCTTAATAACCATTGCTACAGTCTACATTATAGACTGCCAGTACTCACCCAGCTTAATAACCAGGCTGCAGTCTACATTATAGACTGCCAGTACTCGCCCAGCTTAATAACCATTGCTACAGTCTACATTATAGACTGCCAGTACACTCACCCAGCTTAATAACCAGGCTAGTCTACATTATAGACTGCCAGTACTCACCCAGCTTAATAACCAGGCTACAGTCTACATTATAGACTGCCAGTACTCACCAAACTTAATAACCATTGCTACAGTCTACATTATAGACTGCCAGTACACTCACCCAGCTTAATAACCAGGCTAGTCTGCATTATAGACTGCCAGTACTCACCCAGCTTAATAACCAGGCTACAATCTACATTATAGACTGTCAGTACTCGCCCAGCTTAATAACCAGGCTACAATCCACATTATAGTCAGTACACTCACCCAGTTTAATAACCAGACTACAGTCTACATTATAGACTGCCAGTACTCACCCAGCTTAATAACCATTGCTACAGTCTACATTATAGACTGCCAGTACTCAAACTTAATAACCAGGTTAGTCTACATTATAGACTGCCAGTACACTCACCCAGCTTAATAACCAGGCTACAATCCAGAGATTGCCAGTACACTCACCAAACTTTATAACCAGGCTAATCTACATTAGACTGCCAGTACTCACCCAGCTTAATAACCATTGGTAGTCTACATTATAGATTGCCAGTACACTCACCAAACTTAATAACCAGGCTACAATCCACATTAGAGATTGCCAGTACACTCACTCCGGTTAAGAACCAGGCTACAGTCTGCATGAGTGGTTTTTATTATTTTTATTCACTTTTTTATTATTAGTTTTCTACGTGACTTTACCGAAAGAACCAAAGAGTATGATTTATACACATTGTGGGAGACCAGTCCATCAACCTTCCACAAATGAAGAGCAGTGCATTTTAAATTTATTGAGAGGAATGAGATGTAGAATATCCTTCACGTGAAATCAGTGCAATTAAACAGCAGTTCTGAAGCTCAAGTACTCGCACCCCTTGTTTTAAACGTTCACCAGCCTACTCGGTGCAGGATGAGCATTAGACTCGTATCACGCTCCCCGATTGGCTAAATCAAGGCTGTAAAACTCAAGTGCTGTCGTGTTGTGACCCTCACCCTGTCAATAACCAAACACTACAAACATCAAAAAACGCATCACACACATGTCAACACTTAACCAATGTAACTAAAAACATTCCTTGATTGTACGCACATTACAAAGCACTTCTTAATCCCATCAGTTTCCACCGTTTCCATTATGTTCAGAAAACCTTTATATTTGAGCAATTAAAACAAATGGGACCAACAAGAGGCTTACACTTGAGGCCAATGTGTGGCGGCTACCTTTGCTCATTCACCTCGTCACAGTTATATCCCTGGACAATGAAATGGTTTACGCAAGACTGCACATGGAACAAATTAACGAGAAGCCATCTAAGAAAATGAGAATTCTGCGCATGTTCTCCACAACCGCCGGCTCGAGCAGCACGAGTGGCCGCGTGCAGGAGGCCTCAAGCGTTGTACGCGGACGAAGAGACGGAGCCACCGTGGCCCGTCCAGTTGGTGTGCACGAAGCTTCCCGGTTTGCTCAGAAGTTCGTAGGTGTGGGCGCCAAAGTAGTCCCTCTGTGCCTGGGGAGATTACAAATTAAAACAAGATTTAGGAAACGCCAAGTCAAAATCAAACCATTGGCACATTTGGAAACTCGCGCCGTTCCTACAGCGCAAGGCTACCATGGAGGCTCTGTGCTTCAGTCGGCAGCAGTTGTGGAGCAGGAAGCAATGGAGCTGTGTCATCACAATCGAGTAGTGTGTGGGTACATTTAGAAATTTTGGGAAGTTTGGAACATGATGCTGACACAGAACGGCCCATTCTTTTCGAATGACATCACAGGAGTTTTTTTAACCGTTCACTATGAAGTAGATGTTGCATATTATTTACGGTGAATACACCCCCAATATTACCAGGGCAGCCCATTGGGTTGAAACTGCAAACCACTAACAAGCGGCGAATGTGTTACCACATCACCGCGCCATTCATGACTAAGCAGTGGATGTCAATTAAGGAATGTTAATGGATACCCACCATTAAAACGCTTCCCGTTTACCATCTGCATTTGCAACAATTGATCTGTGTTTACAAAACCAATTAAGTTTCTTTTGCATATTTTTATACTTTACGCGAGAATTTGCCTGTTCATTTGAAAAGTTATAACCATTAATATGAGATTCCCTCCTTACCCGTTATTGTTGAATAACTATCATGCACAACAATATCAATAAAATGTAACGGTTCCAATGCAGAAAATAAATCATGTTATTGCAATGCTGCACAGCTTGTACAGCCGCACAGCTTGTACAGCCGCACGCCTGTGAGGTGGGGACCACCTGAATGAGGTTGGCCGGCAGCACGCCCTGCCTGTAGCCGTCGTAAAACGCCAGGGCGGTGCTGAAGCAAGGCATTGGAATGCCAAGTTGAACCCCTGTTCCTACCACCCTGCGCCAAGACTCCTGCAGCACACGTACACATGTTCACACTTTCACATATACACGCGCACATACACACGATTGCGACCACAAGACTGCATATCAGCAAGGCTCTCCAGATCACCTTGCTTAAGATTGTAAACAATTATATCGAAGGCATCAGGGTTTGATTGACTGCACCAATTATGATCTGCACACGAAACTAACCTGACAATCTTTAATAGCATCCTTGAAGAAGTCATCCAACAAGAGATTCTGTAATTTGGGGTTTCTGTCAAAAGCTTCCTTGATTTTCCCCAGGAACACGCTGTAGAAACACAATGATGCCACAATCTTTACACTCAAACAAAAAAACAACCGCAAACTAACGTTAATGTTGCCAGCGTCACTCAACACAATCGCTGAAAAGACACGAAGAGTTTTACACAATCGCACAATGTTGTACAAAGGTCACCGTGTGTTCATTGTCCGTGGAGGTGAGTGGGTCACCTGCGAATAATGCATCCTCCACGCCACATGAGAGCAATGCCCCCATAGTTCAGACACCAGCCAAATTCAACGGCAGCCTGCCGGAACAGCATGAAGCCCTGGGCATACGAGATGATCTTGGATGCATACAGGGCCTGCGAGACACACAAGAAACGTTTACTCTTAAAAAGAAGCAATGTATGTGTTAGTCAACTTGGCAGATATCATACGTGCTTGTCAAGCTACTGATTTTCGTTTGACAAGACACCAGTGATAAATGAAGATCACATTGGGCATGAAACAACATGTAAAGTGGTCTCTACTTTTGAAACCAATGCATATCAGATAACCCGATTTTAAAACGCATACAAATTACTTGGGTTAAGGTGACCTCCAAATCCTTCAGAATGGCAGACACCGCGACCGATCTTGGAATCGGTGAAAGTGAGTCATGCTAAACGAGAGTGTACAGACCTTGCGGACGTCTTCAAGAAACTTCTTCTTGTCTCCCTTGAACTCCGTGCTCTTGGGGCCAGGGAGCAGCTGGCTGGCCACAACTCGCTCGTTCTTGAGGGCCGAGAGGCAGCGCGCAAACACCGACTCCCCTGCAATGGCGAGCGCACACGCGAAATGTAACGTTGCCGGCAGGCGGCGAATACAGAATAGTATCGTGAATACATGGAGGAGCTGGGCGTGCATGATATGGGCCAGTAATCCAGCGCTGTGTATAGAGCCAGCAGCGAGGGTTGCTGGATTGCACGCTGATGTTGTCAAACTCTTCCCGTGGGTGTCGCACATGTGCCCGGCTCGCCAGGGGAAGCCAGTACAGCAAGTGAACTAATCGCGATCTGTTTCCATCTGTACGGGGAAAGACTTTTGCCCCCTCACTTGTGTGGGTTTTCTCTGGGTGTATAAATATTCACCATTTAATGAGCTGAAAACATCTTAAAATAAAAATCCAATGCAAGACAGTTCTGAAAGAAAGTCCTCCGACTCGTTCCGGACAGACGTAGAGATAACGCTTTCGACCCCGGATGGAGAAAGTGAGTAGCCACTGACCAATGAGCGTGACGGGCACCCCGAACTCCAGCGAGGAGATCGCGGTCCACTTCCCAGTGCCCTTCTGCCCGGCTGAGTCGCGGATCTTGGGGACCAGCGGTTTCCCATCCGTATCACGGTACTTGAGAATGTTGGCGGTGATTTCAATTAGGAAGCTGTCCAACTCTGTTTTGTTCCACTCTTCGAATGCCTGTAAAAGACATCTCACCGCATTTTTTGGCTACTAACACTTGTTCACAGGTTAAATTATTTTACTACAGTACACTATATTACTACAGCAGCAGTGTACAAAACTGTGAAAATATGTAAACACGGTAATAGAAAACCTTTGGTTGTAGAAAATCCAACATGTAGGGAATTTAGGTTATCACTCGAATTTGTGATCAGGAGCAAATTCCTGTCCACTGCTGGATCAAAGCCTCCCCATGCCGTCCATTCCTCGTGGTCCTCATCACATGATGAGTCCTGTGCCCAGGGGGACCTTACTTTTCTTAACATATGGCGTTGCTGGTTAGAATTCGTTCACTGATCCGAGTGTAAATCTTTCTGTCTCTTGGTGTCATTTATCTAGAATCTAAATCTACTGGGAAATAAAGGACCTGCATAAATACAATGAGTATTCTTGGATGCAACGGCCCCGAGATGGGATTACAAAATGAGCTGTGTATATAACCATTAAGCGCTCCTCCCTTCATGGGTTCTAGGCCTACTTAAGCCCATTGTGACAGCGAGGAAATCCATGTCATTCCCAGAACGCACCTCTCCACAGTTGTCCGTGTGCAATCTCCTAAACATTCATACAATACAGATACTGACAATAAACCCAGGATGTCTTTTAGTTCATGAAATTCATTGTAATACAGAGGATTCACATTAAGAACTGTGGGATGTTTTTGTACAATTGACTGCGGACAAAAAGTACAAAAATCCCCCGTATAGCCTTTAACAAACTGTTGGGGTAAGTGCTGTTAGCGAGCATCTATTAAGGTCGGTATGGCACACAGAGGAGGCAGGTGGCCAACACCATTCCAGGCCACCTTTGTCTCCCCAGTGCTGATGTTACAGACTGGACCAGGTACTCATTTCAGGCGTAAGCCGGGAACCGGTTCAAATATTTGCCACCGTTTATCGATCGTGAGCGTGAATTGAACTCGGGTCGCCAGCTCCCCACACGCACGTGTATGTACACACACACACTTTGTAAAAAGGCAGAACTTCAAGATGCAGCGCATGGGAGGCGCGGTATAAATAATGAATAACTTATGATGGTGATGACATCGCACCTCCGCCATTTCATCGTGGTTCATCCCCAGCACGTCCTTCATCAGGTGGTAGGCCTCACAGATGAGCTGCATGTCACCGTACTCGATGCCGTTATGAACCATCTTCACAAAGTGGCCGGCCCCATCCTCCCCAACCTAAACAAAGGACGAGAGGCTCAGAAAATTTAAATAAAAACGCACTCTAGTTAACAAAACGTATGGGATTGACATATGCCAATTGGTGTCTGTCCTGTATCGAGTGAGCTATCGATAGCTTCCTGTGGCGTCTTGAAGCTGCTCACCCAATCGCAGCAGGGCTCGCCCGTCCCGACTTTCGCTGCAATGCTCTGAAAGATGTCCTTAATGTGAGGCCTGGTGGGTAGACAAACGGCCGTCAGTTCCCAGGCGCCATCGCCTTGGGTGGCAACGCGCGCAGTGCGCACCACCGTGTTCCAAGTGCACCACATTACCAGGCCTCGGCGCACCCTCCAGGCATGAGCGAGGGGCCGTAGCGAGCTCCCTCCTCGCCGCCGCTCACCCCGCTGCCCACGAACAGGAAGCCTTTGGACTTGAGGGCTTTGCACCTCCTCTGCGAGCGAAAGAAACCCACAGCGGTATGTTCAGCATCTCCTCGTGAAGTAACACGTTTAGGTGAAGCAAAATCTAAGTGAAGAATAAGGCATGACTCTGGATTTGGAGATTGTTACGCAACCGATAGATTCACAAATCAGGCACAATACAGAGGCTCATTCGACACCAAGCATGAGAAATTAAAATAATTCTTACATTGGTGTCGTTGTACTCGGAGTTCCCTCCGTCAATGATGATGTCACCTTTTTCCAACAGAGGTGTCTGCATAAAACAGTGAGAGTTATCAATCTGTCATGCATGTTCTTCTTGTTTTCTGTGATTATCCAATTTTTTATCCCCAAATCTGCTATCAGCACCACATCACAAAACAAATATCCATCCAGATCTCTTACAGAGTAGTGTAACCCTTCGTGTTGGAGAAGGGCCCACAGACGTAGATATCACAGAGCTCTCGGTCACATACAACGGAGGCGAGTATTTCCCACCCAATCTGCGTAACGGTGATATTCGTGGCATGACCATCAAACCGTTTTGTTAACTCTCAGTTCTGGAAATTTGCCAAATTAAGTGCAGAATAAAATTAAACGATATAGATGTTTATGCAGACATTGGAGAACACAAATTCAGTCCACGTTTTGCAATCGGCGTTTTTGTTTTTAATTTCCAGCTGATGTACCATACAAAGGGCGCGTTTGCTGAAGCGGCACCTCAGGAGCATACCAGCTTGTCAATGAAGTCATCCACGGCCTGCCCAGCCTTCACAAGCAGCACAATGCGACGCGGCTTCTTCAGTTTAGCCACCATCTCCTCCAGCGAGTGGGCACCCACCACCTTCGTGCCCTTAGCTTCATTGGCCAGGAACTCGTCCACTTTTGAGACTGTGCGGTTGAACGCGCACACCTGTGGATGTCAGGCACACACAATGTCATCATCATCGCATCAGCAATGTCAAACGCTTGGTGTGTGGTCAACTGCCATATGCAAGTAATTGGTGTTTGTACAAAAGGCTCCACCAACCTACTTGTCCAATGACTATGTTTTTTATATGCGTTACTGAACAAGCATTTGATGCTGAAAAAACTTGCGTGAAAAAAATCTCAAGGAAAGAGAGAATCTCTTATCCGTGGCTTCTCCATCACATCATTACTCGACTAATGCAACTTCTCCACTTAACACTCACTATCTTCAAGACCATCCATGGACTTGACCATCCTTAACCTCTCTCATCTCACTCTACTACATGATATCTCCGCTCACACAATCAAGGATTTTTGTTGAAGCCCCCAGTCAACTCCGCTCAATGACAGAAGGTTGCTCATTCTCGTTTGCCTTCCATATTCCAGAACTCCTTTCTCCCATACTCTTTGGTTCTTTCGGTAAAGTCACGTAGGTAGAAAAATAATAGATCACGACGTTTCGATCCCAACACAAGCAATCGTCATCAGGTTGGACAACTACAGCAAGTAGGCGAGAGATCTGCCGTGGCACGAGGTTATATAGTCCTCAAGACGTAATTTTTTCCCGCTATGACCACCTTGCTCCTCTATAAAACAAACGTCCACTTTCTGCAGTGTCTTAATATATACTATTGAATTTAAATGCTAAATCCAAATTATATTGTATTGTATATTACATTTAATATCATCTTTGACCAAGTTGCAATAAAAATAAATAAATAGAAACGGATGACTGTCAAACACATGCGCTTCTCAATTGGCCCAGGCTTGCTCACCACAAAGCCATGGTCGTTCATATTCAGGACGATATTCTGGCCCATGACGGCCAGTCCAATCAGGGCTATATCAGCTCTGTAAAAGATAAACACAAGCCCACATTAACAAAATAGTGACAAGGAACATTTAACATTAAAATTCCTTATAATAAGAAACCATGTGATGGAGATTACTGCCATTTCCAATTACTGCAATTCAAAATCATTCCCATTTCGGTGATAACAATTTTGGACGGCAGGCGCACAAACACTGCGTTAGCAGATCCACGTGAATAACTTCCATTGTCGCTGCGCAGTCAACTGCATGTGGGACGTGATGTCACCACTCATCGGATGTCACCAGGGCTGATATTATTCAATTTAATTTGTAAAACTTTAATATCTGAATTCTATATATGAAGGTAAAGAACCATAAGCTGTCACCACAAAGACAAATATCCCCCGTATAGCCTTAAGATACTGCTGGGGTAAGTGCTGTCCGTAAGTACCTACGAAGGCCGACAATATACGAGGGGGTGGTGTGTCGACGTTTCCCCAGCAGTAATGTTTCTCGCACCACACCAGGTACTAATTTAGCTCAGGACTAATTACAATCTTCATCATTGTTTATTGTCCATGAACGGTAATTAAACTCGGGTCGCCGGGTTCCCTCCTACACCACCACATTTGACTTTGCATGAGGTCCCACCTGTATGACCCTATCTGTACAGGACCGTGAATAACGTCAGGTCATCAGCAACGTGGAAGGGAGGGGCCAGGCTTGCCTCAAGGTTTGTTTACAGAGTGGGGAGAAGGTGCAAAGGCACATGACCGACCGGCCAGTCACACCATCAAGCGGCCCCTGCTGCTGCTTTATCCCCGGGTCTCCTATATTTCAACACCTTTTCCAGGGTTAATGGTGCAAGAGCCACATCACGGTTCATATAATTTCGTGCGACAACATTGTATTAACTCAAACCTTTAAAAGTACCTCCGATTATGACAGTTGGCTATATACGATGCGGAAGAAGTTCAACGTACACATAGCGCCCATTGGGAGCTATTTATTTTCCATGGGATTTTTTACAGATTTAAATGACACACACTGGTGAATACGTATGAAAGGAATTTATAGTTAACCAGCCTCTTTGTCACTGCACTGTGGGACGGCGGGCTCCCACTATGGGGGTGAAGCACACTTCACCACACTCGCCCGTGCAGGTTTGTAAAGGGGTCGGAGGGGGGTAGGCTTGGTTCACTGCTCTGTGCCGTGGCCAACAATCAAAGATCAATTCATGTCACAGTGCACAAACCACCTACAAGTTAATTACAGGCTCCAGAGTATTCTATACTGTATTCTCCCAATCTTTGCCTGCTAATGTTGTCACTAATGTATTACGGGAAGGATATCTGCACCCCCCGCGGGATTAACGCCAGATTACCACGGCTCAGACTCAGCGATGTGTGGGGAGAACAGATGAACTCGGGCCCCCAGTTCACCTACGCTGACATGTTGACATGTCAGCGTGTTAACTGACATGTCGACATGTCCATGCTGACATGTTAAACTCGTCTAAGCAACACAATCGCGCTGTCACCATCATAGAACCTCTTCCGAGACCACCCAGATTCGCAGGGACGCTGCTGCTGGGCCAACAGAGCGGAGCCACGCGGACGTCCAGAATGAACTCCTCACTCGAGACCCAAACATGGTGCCTCCTGCTTTGGCATTACTCGACATCACCGGGAAATCATCAACAGAGTGAGAACATCAACACGCTAGTGGGCACATCTCCTTCATTGATGTGACATTAAAGACACAAGCCATGGTAGTGCGATTGTGGCCAAGCAACCCAAACCGTGGGCCACAGTGAACCACTGGAGCAGGAGCAACACCGCAGATCGAACTCTCCTGATGCCCTCTTGTCGCGGCCAGCAGACCTCGCCAGCACAGGGAAACTATTGCCGGGGACTCAAGAACGCCTCTATGAACACCCCGCCCACCCGTAGCACTGGGGTGCGATGTTGCAGAGGCCAAAGTGGCTGCCATGAAAGCGTGCCGAATAAAAGTCAGATTTTGTATGTATCCGGTAGGAATCCGATGAGCTATGGAGCTCTTTGTCACAGATGTACAGAGTCAGATCAGGTGATGAGAAAACAGCAACGGCAGCGAATGATGATGGCAAGCTCCCAACCCTTGCCACGTGCAGCGTGGATGTATGGATCTCTATCGAGAGAGAGGAACACGTGGATCGTAACGCACAGCATCGAGTCACAGTCGGCAAGCCCAACAGAGCGCGACTCAACGACGAGTGAAACATTTTTATAGCTCATCGGATTCCTGCAGCGTAAATACAATGATTCTGATTCTGGCGTCACAGCCAATGTCAACGACTGCCCTCAACGTCCACGCGAGTCACTGTCACAGGTCACGGGTGCGGCCCCACAACGTCCTGCTCACGCCACCGGCGGCACGAGGGTCAACTCGAGAGCGCGAAGTCGCCCACAGGGCACCGGGGCCCACTCGACTACCCACGGCTTACCCCACCACCGCACGCCAACCGACTGCAGTGTACGTGCCCATCAACACGCCTGGGTGTACAGGCGGTGAGTGTTTTGAGGGATTGTAGAGACGCTCCCATTGGTTCAGCTGCCGCGACGGGAGATCGAACGGGAAGGAGATCGCGGCACCTCTGGGTGGCCAGGCCGGTGCGCGAACCGTGACGCCAGGACGGCTCCCACCGGCCACCGTGCAACGTTAACGCGCTTCACATTAAACACGGAGGTGACCGACAACAGCGACAGCATTGGCGTTCACGCGGAGCGACGACTCACTCCGCCATGCTCCCGGATTCCCCGCCGATGCTCCCGGATTCTCCGCCGCTCGCTCCGGGATGTCTCCCTGCTCGCTGCTGCCGCCGCCTCCTCGCGGATTCTTCTCGCTGCTTCCGCGTCCAGGATCCCAGCCCAAGCGCGCATTCCCATTGGCCCAATGACAACAGCGCCGCGAGCCAATCACGCGCGAGTACGATGGGGCGGGGTGGTGCCAGGGTGGGGCGAGGGGTGGGGCGAGGGGTGGGGAGGTTGGGGCGAGGGGTGGGGCGAGGGGTGGGGCAGGGGGGGCGAGGGGTGGGGCAGGGGGGGGCATCCATCGCGCGCCGGGCCCCACGAGGCTACTGGAGGGGATGAATCCGCGGAGTCAATAAGATCAAAGCGGCTGTTGCTGCTGATGCACAAAGCACCACATCGCTCTACTACACTGTGGTGCAGTAGCGCCACAAGCCGAGTCAATGTGTGTATGTTGAACTTCGTTCGCACCGTGCCTAGCCAACTGCGCTAATCGGAGGTGCGGGGAAGAACACCAAACTAAACACAAAGAAATGGGTTTACTGTGGCCGTGAAAGGAGATAAATGTGCTGTACTGTAGTAGGCGACGTTTCAGGCAATGGCTCTCGCTTTATGTGCTACTCAACTTCGCCTATTATACTCTTTGATTTTTTTTCGGTAAAGTCACGAAGGTCGTATGAATCCTTGCAGTCACGAAAACTTCAAATCTAGACTTCGCCTATTATAGATGATACTTTTAAGGCCACGGTGTTATTGCAGAATGTGTAGATTTACTATGACTACCACACTCACTCAAAGTGAGTTCCTGCGCGAAACAGCATTGAGGCATCGGTGCTCATCTCCTGTTTACAGCCTCACAGAGTCAGAGGTGGAAATTCCACATCCCTCTGATGGGGGCGAGTCTCTCCATGACACAACCTCAGTTGGCTTCCCCAGGATTCCAGGAAGTGTAACTCATCTCATAGAAGACACCCTGAGCAGGTTCTGAGCTGGCACCCTTCTCAGGACGAGCCACTCGCTCGGCGGCCGAACCTCCTGGCCACGTGATACGCGAGGGCGTTGAGCTCGGAGTCACCGATACAAGGTGGCGATCGAGCGGCACTTTCTCAAATGTTTACCGATGGCGATTGTTGACGGCAGATTTGGGTGAATGAAATCAGAGGTGAACGATAGGATGGGGATGCATTTGGGGAGCTGAATTTGATCTCGGCTAATGCGCAGCAGTGCCATGGATTGTGGCATCAGCAGGGCCACGAGGGGCAGGGACCGTGTGGAGTGTGGATCCGTCTTCATGCACTGCCGATTAGAGCTGATGATCAAGACATTATAGAAATGTGCAATGTTTTGTACCGAGCAATGTTGCCCCAGTGGAATGTTGTCATAGAATCACACTCTGTATTGAACCTGGAGGAATCCGATGAGGTGTGAAGCTGCTTTCACAGATGTCCAGTCGGGGACGGGTCAGCAAGTCCAGTTGGGACGCGTCCATTCATTATTCAGCAACAATGAATTCAGTATTCCCGCACAATGCCAAGGATTTCCTTGGTGTCAATGCAAAACGCGAGTTCAATGTTTATTGCGTTCCGATGCAAATCGCACCCTCATGCACGCACACACAAGGAAACGCCAATACTGAAACAACCTTGACACGATGCATCGTAACCGGTAAAGAGAGAGGACTTCGCTTCCTTTCGGCAGAGGAATTGGTTCACTGATGATGGTGATTGTAAAACGTGTGCTGAGCAGTAAACTTATAGCGAGGCAGATCTTAAGGCTGGCCCTGAATGAAACTAATCACCCTCGGGGTGTTACATTATTGAGCCCCAAAGATGGTTGTCAGAGTTGTCTAGTTATAATCGTTGACTGTGTGCCCAATATTAGCACTGCACTTCTATAATCTCGACTCGAGAGCATCATTCAGATATGTAATCAATCAGTCTCAGCAGCCAATGCCTGGAGACCACAAAAAGTGGAACGTGACTGATATTTACCAGATAAACCATCCTGGATGTGTTTTTGTAATTCATATTCATGTCGGGAGCCCTCTTTAAATAGCTGGGTATTTCGAGAGCTGCCCCTGCTTGGGACGTGTTTAGATCCGCCTCTGGACGGCCTGATGAGTGTCTCGAGTGGATTCACCATCACCAGTTACCACGCGCGGGTGATCGTGCAGCCGCTGTCCGCAAAGTCGCAACCACGTGGCGATGCAGGCTGCCTGCCGCACGCTCGGGACGCACCTTGCACACGAAATGTTCCATCTCGGGGGATTTTCCAGGTGATATGTTTGAATAAATACGTAAAGTCAACTTGTTATTTCCGTATTTCTAGACAAACAACACGCCTACTGCAGGAGGACAAGTTCGTGAAAGGTTTAATTAATTAAGTAGTTAATAACAACAATGTGTGTGCGTGTGGTTTCCCTTCAAGGGCGCCGATTTTCTTCTCGCGCCTGGCCACAGCGCGTTCGGGAGCGAAATGCGAATGTCGAGGTCTACTAGCCACGACGAGAGGGCTTGAGCAGAGAGTTCGTGTCGGTTGCGAGGCGTTCGATTGCAGTCGCCTGACTCTCGTTGCAACATCGCCCCTGGGAGTGGCGGGCGTCATCGCGAATGCAGTCGACTCGACGTGACTTTGCAAATAGGGACCGTGATTTGCTTAGCGAAGCCCTCGGAAAATTCCCAACCAATTGGTCACCACCGCAATAGCGCAAGTACCCCTCGCCCTCCCCCCATGCTTTGCATTCGCTACGCCCACATTAACAATTGTGAGGGTCCAGTGAGTGTGAGATTATCCTTTAAACATTACTGGGTGTGACTTCAGCGTCCGAAAACCCCAAAACCTCAAGCCCCCTGGGTAAAACACGCGTCTTGTGTCCGACTAGCGATTGATAGGATCTCCGCTCCTACGAGATGTGTTCAATGTGCACACTGGACGTCTATGTTATTCTTTCGATTAGCAGGATGGAAAAGCACCCGAGTCGAAACGCGTTCGAGTCGAATGCGATTCTTTTTTCAACCGGTCCGAGACGGCGGCGGCAGCAGCAGCAGGAGGCGCTGTGTGGACGCGGCGTCAGGCGACGATGCGTTGTTTGGTGGCTTCACGACAGCGGCAGTTCGACGATCCTGAACATGACCAGACTGATTCCGGCCAAGGCATGTGGAATATTCCCAACTGGCTCAGGAAGAGCACTGCCCAAAGCTTGCATACGCACGGATTTATGTTCTTGTATAAATAGAATTGCAGACGCCCCTGTTTACGCTGATCGTGGATAGCGTTTATTGAACAGTGCAACGTCGTCAAAGCGAAACGAGATCTGACAACTCCAGTTCTGCTCCACCCCACCAACCGTACAGCCATTTCCCCAAGCAATCAACACGCCCTGCGTATGCTGCCGCTCGTTAACATTAACTTGCTCATTAGCCACACACCTCTGCGAGGGGAGGCGCGAATGAAGAACACTGGACGTGGGAAATCACTGTGGGCTGCAGAGACTCTGGCTGCCCCCGCCGAGAGGGGTTCAAAGTTTAGACTTATGTTTACTTCTGCATTAGGTTGTTTGGCCAACACGAATGACTGTACATCGTGCGTGTTCAGCTATGGGAGGAAACCGAGGAAGATGCATACTCCACGCAGAAAGTCTCCAGAGTGAGGAATCGAACCCAGGTGCTTATTGCTGCGAGGCACGCGTCACCAAAGCGCCACCACGCAGCCGCAAAAGGCACGGGGCTTCAGCAGGGCGCTTCACTGAGGCTGCTGCAGGGCGTCGTGCGTGTGGAAGGCAGCGGCTGCTGCTGCTACTGCTACTCGTCCACTCCCCCACGGATCCGTGCACCCACTCGGCCTGGCAGCCTCAGTCACGTGGCCGTAGCCTCAATGACCTCTGCGTTGCCGAGTGCAATGCGGTTTCGCGGGAGCACTTCAACCTGCAGGCAGAAGCACGCTCATGTTTCGTACACACACACACATGGGCTGTGTCCTGGGATATCCAACACGAGCGTCTTGTCACGAATGAGGAATTATGAAGCACGCTATGACAACATCATTGCAGTGATGCCACTGTACGGAGCTCTTGATGCTGATTTTCAATTATATTATTTTATGAGCTTCAACCTGTTGTTATCCAGCCCAGGATGCATGTCCTAGGTACACAAAACAAGAGCGGTTTGCTCTTTGGATTGTTCCCTTTAAGGTATAAGGTATCCCAGAATCCATCCGATGGAAACAGATGGGGATTAGTCCACTTGCTCTACTCCCAAGCCAGGGTATGGCACCGACGCCCACAGGAAGGGAGTTTCTGGACATCTGTGCGTTGATTCACCAACCCTGGCTGCCTCCACAGCGCTGGATTAGAGGCCATGTGCAGGGAAACCACCGCCATCCAGCTTCATGTCCGTCAGAAATGTCGTGCACGGACTTTGACGAAAAGCGACAGGAATTGTGGGAGGGCTGGAAGCTCCTCGCTCAGAGTACGAGTTGAGAATATGCCAAGATCCGCAGCCCCCACCCCCCAACGTCATTATTGCAGCTCCAGTGTCTGTGGTGGCGTGGGATTTCACTGCTGCATCTGCTTCGTATTTTTCCCATTTTACTCCGATTACATAAGCTGGATGGTTCGGAATATTATACTTGGGTGGATTAGAAATCAATCATCAGACGATCACACCACTCCTCACACGAGCCGTTGCGTTGTGCAATGGCGCTCAGCGGCTCATTGTTGAGAATGGCGAGCGTGGCGCTGCGTGCCAGCAGGCAGATCGCGCGCAAGCAGGGCTTGCTGAATAATCAGCCAAGTACATTTGGTATGTGCGCCATTGGCATAATGCAAGGTTATCAGGAAGGTGCCGTGTTTCACAGTCCACAGTAGTTTCACAGTAGGGTGGCAATGTTGCCGTGTGCAATCAAAATGGAATAATTTGGCTAATTCGGACTTTTTTTCGAATGTCACGGGATCTTTCACGTCCATTGTGAAGAAGATGGCGCACATTTCGCCGTCAATGCACCTCCAGTATTAACCAGAGTGGCCTCGCGGCATCAAACCGCAAACCTCTGCAACCAGCAGTGAACGCGCTACTCCTAGGCCACGTCACCGCCCAAGTGTGACCTGCTGACGTTACACGCCTCCAATATAACAACGCGGGAGGCAGGGTTGGTGGATCAGGTGGGGATGGGGTCTTCTACAAGATATGGATTTGTAGGGCAATCTGGTGCCATAGGAAGTAGCTTTCAAGCCACCTGTGCAGAGTACGGGCGTTCTCCACTCATCGTGAGTGGCTTTCCAGACACTTGGTTTCTCGCACGTGCGAAACAGTCAGATCCATATAAACAAAGCCATGGATCTACACTATGGGGACCTCATTTGCCAGTAAAAATATGATAATTGGTTCTTTACCCTTCTATCTGGCAACAAAACTGACACCTTTTTGCAAGGAGTCATGTTTGCATAGACCGCAATACCTGCAGTCATAATACAAACAAAAGAACATAACTCTGATAATGTGCACTGTCCTTGAAGTTGATTGGTCCACACCCGAGACAGCTTTCCTTCGAGCCTAGTCTCATATGGGTTGGACCAGATGACGCCAAAAGGCGCACAACTCAAGGACAATGCACCATCAGAGTATGAGAGCTCGGGGCAAGCATCTACACTATGGGGACCTCATTTGCCAGTAAAAATATGATAATTGGTTCTTTACCCTTCTATCTGGCAACAAAACTGACACCTTTTTGCAAGGAGTCATGTTTGCATAGACCGCAATACCTGCAGTCATAATACAAACAAAAGAACATAACTCTGATAATGTGCACTGTCCTTGAAGTTGATTGGTCCACACCCGAGACAGCTTTCCTTCGAGCCTAGTCTCATATGGGTTGGACCAGATGACGCCAAAAGGCGCACAACTCAAGGACAATGCACCATCAGAGTATGAGAGCTCGGGGCAAGCATCTACACTATGGGGACCTCATTTGCTAGTAAAAATATGATAATTGGTTCTTTACCCTTCTATCTGGCAACAAAACTGACACCTTTTTGCAAGGAGTCATGTTTGCATAGACCGCAATACCTGCAGTCATAATACAAACAAAAGAACATAACTCTGATAATGTGCACTGTCCTTGAAGTTGATTGGTCCACACCCGAGACAGCTTTCCTTCGAGCCTAGTCTCATATGGGTTGGACCAGATGACGCCAAAAGGCGCACAACTCAAGGACAATGCACCATCAGAGTATGAGAGCTCGGGGCAAGCATCTACACTATGGGGACCTCATTTGCCAGTAAAAATATGATAATTGGTTCTTTACCCTTCTATCTGGCAACAAAACTGACACCTTTTTGCAAGGAGTCATGTTTGCATAGACCGCAATACCTGCAGTCATAATACAAACAAAAGAACATAACTCTGATAATGTGCACTGTCCTTGAAGTTGATTGGTCCACACCCGAGACAGCTTTCCTTCGAGCCTAGTCTCATATGGGTTGGACCAGATGACGCCAAAAGGCGCACAACTCAAGGACAATGCACCATCAGAGTATGAGAGCTCGGGGCAAGCATCTACACTATGGGGACCTCATTTGCTAGTAAAAATATGATAATTGGTTCTTTACCCTTCTATCTGGCAACAAAACTGACACCTTTTTGCAAGGAGTCATGTTTGCATAGACCGCAATACCTGCAGTCATAATACAAACAAAAGAACATAACTCTGATAATGTGCACTGTCCTTGAAGTTGATTGGTCCACACCCGAGACAGCTTTCCTTCGAGCCTAGTCTCATATGGGTTGGACCAGATGACGCCAAAAGGCGCACAACTCAAGGACAATGCACCATCAGAGTATGAGAGCTCGGGGCAAGCATCTACACTATGGGGACCTCATTTGCCAGTAAAAATATGATAATTGGTTCTTTACCCTTCTATCTGGCAACAAAACTGACACCTTTTTGCAAGTACTGGCAAATGAGGTCCCCATAGTGTAGATGCTTGCCCCGAGCTCTCATACTCTGATGGTGCATTGTCCTTGAGTTGTGCGCCTTTTGGCGTCATCTGGTCCAACCCATATGAGACTAGGCTCGAAGGAAAGCTGTCTCGGGTGTGGACCAATCAACTTCAAGGACAGTGCACATTATCAGAGTTATGTTCTTTTGTTTGTATTATGACTGCAGGTATTGCGGTCTATGCAAACATGACTCCTTGCAAAAAGGTGTCAGCTTTGTTGCCAGATAGAAGGGTAAAGAACCAATTATCATATTTTTACTGGCAAATGAGGTCCCCATAGTGTAGATGCTTGCCCCGAGCTCTCATACTCTGATGGTGCATTGGTCCTTGAGTTGTGCGCCTTTTGGCGTCATCTGGTCCAACCCATATGAGACTAGGCTCGAAGGAAAGCTGTCTCGGGTGTGGACCAATCAACTTCAAGGACAGTGCACATTATCAGAGTTATGTTCTTTTGTTTGTATTATGACTGCAGGTATTGCGGTCTATGCAAACATGACTCCTTGCAAAAAGGTGTCAGTTTTGTTGCCAGATAGAAGGGTAAAGAACCAATTATCAAAGCCATGGATCTCAATGGAATGTCTTTTTTATCACTCCGATAAATGGTACAATTATACAATTAAGTGACTCCCACAGACCGGTGTTCTGCGTTACACAAGAACCACAAGGTTTATTTTCTCGCTGATCATTTCCAGCACATGACTTTTTTAAGTTTGGTGACAAGGTCATGTGACAAGGTCAGTATCCGTCACTACAAGACAGCGTACAACACACGGACTGGCTATACAGACACCAGGTGAGGCGGCAGAAAGGACAGGTGCTGCTGCTGCTGCTGCGGTTACTGCTGGACACGAGCCACTCCAGGCTACCACCCACCCATCAACTCCTAATGACGTTCACATCCATCTAAATATCAGTGGTGCTGCATAAGCATTTTTTTGGAAGCACAAATAAAAATAACGTAAGGTTAAACCAAGGAAGAACACGGAAAATAAAACCAAGTTACGGCCACACCACTGTCAACTTTGCACGGGTTTCCATTATCCCCCCCCCCCACTCTGGCGAGGGAGGAAATGGGGCCGAGTGTGTTTTAACCAAATGGCTACTACCTACTGCATGGGATACGACTACATCACTTCACATCTGAGCAAGCAGCACGGAGGCAGCAGAGCAATGCTGCTGCTGCACCTTCTCGACCTAAGCCACCTGCGGTGCGCACACCCTCACCCAAAAGCTCGACAACCACACACAACAGGCATTCTTGATATTCATTTATGTACACACGAGGACACGAGTTCAGCCGGAGAGCGTGTGAACCTGGCGCAATGTGGATATGTCCGAATCGTTACGTAAATAATGGAATAACATCAGGGCTTACCTGAAATGTAAAAAGTGCTACATATTCTCAAACACGTGAATACAGATATGATTACAATTGGACGCACTTCAGCTCGCCGCCGTGGATGTGCAGGGCCCTGTGCAGCAATCGTTAAGGCATCCCCCCTCCCCCCCAAACGGAACTCCCCGGTTGTGACTTAAGCACAGATAGACTCGAGTGAAACTGCCGAACCTAAAGGGCGAGGGGTGTAGAAGTTAAACGTTGCACTCGCGTTGCGGTCCGTCGAGTCCCAGATCGAACAGTGCGTCGCTCGGAGCGCTGCCGATCCACAGAACTTATCAGACTGCCAGATGAGTCTCCTCTTTGCTTGCTTCCGGGGCTCGATGAGGCGCCAAGTGAAAGTTCTGATCGATTTGCCTGCAGAGTAAATCAGCTGCGATCACACCCTTCGTTATACCACATCGCAGGGTTAGAACGCAGCAGCACGCGTGTGTGTACGAAGGTTTCCAAGTTTACTCCAACATTACTGCAGGTGCCTTCAACATTTACCACCACAATAACTTGCACATGTTCTTCCTAAGCCGGATGATGCTGTACATGCATTTCAGTTGCTTTTATCCATGGGTTTCGGTTTCCCTTTAACAACAAATTCACAAACACGCGTAAAAGTCATGCACTAAAGGTTGATTGGCCCAAGACATGACCTATACCTAGACACGGTGACAAGCGCCTTGGCTAATGTCAGCCAATGCACACAAGCAGAGACTCGTGTGTGTGTGTGTGCCATGCACTGGAGGTATTGTGGCCTAAAGCACACGCTGGGCCATGGCACAGCCATCAACTCCGTTCATATTTATTCGGATATAGCGTCAACATCGATACGCTGCGAAGATGCAGACTTGTGTTTTAGGCCGGTGTTAACCCTGTGACATTTTACCAGCAAGCCAGTGCAGTGGGCAGCGAGAGGCAATTACCATTGCCAGCCTGAGATATAAATTACACGATTTCACAGATGCCTTCCCTGCCCCACCCCTACAGTAAAGCAGCTCTCCTCTTTGCATAAATAACATCTCAATACACAACTACCAGTTATGAATAAGTACAGTAATTTTCTTAACACAATAAACAAGCATAAAACACAACATTTAAACCAATATAAAAATGTGCATGATGGTAGCCAGTTATACGTAGCTACGGAGATTCTGCAATGTGCAGAGTTTGGCTGTGATGATAAGGTGAACTGAAGAGCCATTGGAGATCCTCCCGACCCATCCCTAGAGAATGGCGCAGCATCTGGGAACCTGCATTATATGTCTGTGGAGCCCCAGAATCTGTATAGCAGGTTTTTAAATGTTATCAACATGTCATCTTATCAGAAGGTAATACAGCTTTACAAAATATCACCCACAAAGCTGTAAGTGTATTAATAGCGCAATTTAAAGCTAAGTTGTTTATTATCCGTATTTTAGTCTAATACTTTGTGGAGTGATACAGGTCGACTACGCATGATACTGTGATACTGTATATTTCAGCTTCCAGGAATGATAATAGGCAGGTGGTGGTCGCGGAACGTTAGACGTAGCTGTGCGATATCCGCACGTTGCGTTTTTAATAACATGAAGCCATCAGGCGACCGGCACCCCCCCCCCCCCCATCCGTGTGTGATTCAGCTCCTTCCAGGAAGCTCGAATCTCTACAACAGATCAATGGTGCACGTCACACGTCATGATTTCATATATTCTGAAGGTTTCCACTTTAGGGGAATGGTTGGACGCATCAGAACTCAGCGGCAGCAACGACGCTGCGGCCCAAGCCCAAGTCTCGGAGCCAGAATTGAGACCTCGCGACTGCTGCGGCCCGAGAACCTCTCCGTGCAGAAGTCTGCGAGAGGTGCGTTGGTAAGCGTGATGGGGGAGAGCAGCCCCTGTTACAAGTATTACCTTACAGCTGCTCACTCCAGCAGAGTGTGACACCACAAGCAGAGAACGTCACGCGTGGAGGCGACACGGGGGCACGGAACAGAACACGGCGGGGTCGAGAGCAAAGCGTCCGGTTTCAAATCCCACAGCCGAGCGCGCACGGTCAAAGGGAGTCCGGGGTAAAGGGACACAGCGGGGAAGGCGCTAAGGGACCACAGCCAAAAGGAGGATAAATCAAATAAATACATGAAAATTTAAAACGATTACAATTTGCTATATACAAACACAGTCTGCATAAACGACCAGACTTCCGAAGTGGGCTTTTATACACTGACCGCAAGCAAATGACTTTGCTGCAAAAGAACAAATAAATAGAAAATAAAGTGATCCGAGTTTAGTGCGGAGTGGTAGGAATGGTGGTCGGCAGACTGAGTTTTTTCTCCATTTGTTTTTCCCGTCGTTCGGTCGCAACTCAGAGTCTCAGCTGGAGCCCTTGGCCTCTTGACTGCTTGGATCTGTAGAACACGCTCACGGACGGAGGAGCACACAGTCATCAGGAGAAGAGACACGCTGGGCTATCACCTCCAGATATTGTTACGCAAACTCAGATTCTGCCATAAAAATATAGACCTGCTACTGCTCACTCAGAAAACATTTGTTAATTGTAAAAAAAATAACTTTATTCACGTGAGCCAAGGGTGAGGGCTCAGTTTTCAGTTGTATTTTGGTATCTGTGATGAAATCAGTGCAAGTAAAAACATGACTACACCTGTTCACTTAATGTTGCAAGTTGTAACTAATTCTAGACCAGTTTATCCCTGACCAACCATGGCCTTTAATAGCAACGAGCTCTCCTGGTGTGCTAGAGGCAGGGGAGCGCACCGCACGGACATCATCATCATGTGCTCTGCAATCTCACACTGCAGGGCTACAAAGCGTACATCAGATGACAGAACAGCAAGGTTACTACTGCCGACCCAGCTGTAAGGGTTATTCAGTGTTATCTATTCACATTTGTGAGTTTCATTAAAGAAACTGGACACTCATCTCAATGCAAGATCCTCCTGAGAGATAACCTCGAGACTCATCGAGGCTCTCTAGCATAGACAAGGGCATAAACAATGCCCTCATCTCCGAGTCCGCAGACGAACGGAAGTTTGGCTGCACGGGCAAGGGCATTGTGGAGATATTCCGAGTGTAATCTGCCGTGCAGGCTGCGGTGGCAGGAGGGGCCCTCACCGGATGGTGCCGGCCAGGAGCGGGTTGAAGGCGTAGAGCCAGTCCTGCATCTCCTTGTCGTTGCACGCCTGCAGTAGCAGGCCGCGATGCTGCGTGCACACCGCAAATGTGTTCGCCGTCTGCACCGACGGGCGCCACCATCGCCGCCGTGGGGAAAAGGGGCAAGAATCATTTTCCCGCGGCAACTGGCACTTCTTCCACGGACTCGAAATTATTCACGACGGCCAGGGGAATCGCTCTCTCTCGCCTCAGAGCCGCTGGGGGACACCCACAAGGCTAGACACCGGGATACTCGGCCAACACTATCCGTGCAACGGAGAGATTCAACAGGTAACTCCCATTCATCGAGTAAACATTCACAAAAAAATCCCACACCATGAAGATTAATATTATAGCAGCAGCACATACAAATTAAGGCCAGATTGGCTCAGCCTGTCCCATGCCAGACGTAGTGACGCGTGCATAAAATCCAGGGCTATTGGAGGCCTGGGTCAGTGAATCACGCAGACTTGTGATATTTCCAAACCCACCCGCTGGGTTGTACGGGGGCCATGAGTTTGGCAGTACAGCAAGTGAGGTTGTGAATTAATTTTATACAACCATTGTGTTATCACACCGCAGGCATGGGCTCTCTCTGAGTTCCACCACAACGATCTAGAATAATGAAACAATCATTGAAAATTATTTTGGCAAATAAATATTATATAAGACTATGATCAAAGTTTTAATACTCATTCTGCAACACTGTGCAGTGCTCATCTCTACTGGTGGACCAGAGCCGGTTTTTGAAAAACACAAATTCCAATAAAAAAAATATCGGTGGTCTCTGCACCGTCATGGTGTGACAATGCATATGACACAATGGTACGATGAGACTCTTGAACATTGCGACGAATCTTTGTGCCATTTGCCAGGCAAATGCCTGGTGTCCCGGTAAAGGGCCCAGTCCTATCCTGGCCTTACCCTGCCTCCCTGAGCCTTGCCCGAATTTCTCTCAGGAAAGGCATTCATCGCCCCATCACGTCACAAGATCCATCGTCAATTTAAAGCTGAGTATTACACCTCAACGTGTCACCGCCCCGTACATCGCCCACTGCGCCCCGAGTCAGGTGCGTCATTGCGCTGGCGCCGTGCCGTTGGCCGCTCACCTTGAGCATGGCCTGCTGGTCCTCGCTGTACTCCACCTGCGCGTTGGACAGGTTGAGGACGCCCCTCTCCACGGGGTCCTTGTCGCTGTTGTAGATGTAGGCGTAGGGCCGGCGCACGGCCACAAAGCGCTTCAGCCACGAGTTGGTCTGCGGCTCCAGGAAGTGCAGGTAGCCCTTCTTGGACACGACGGGACTGGGAAGGGGCAGACGACAACATTGGGTGGCGTTAGCTCAGGGGAAATCTGGAAAAGGGAATTTTCTCTGCACAGGCTCCAGTGTGCTTAGACACAGAGTTCATGCTTTGTACGCAAGTCTTTGATACGTAAGTTAAGTTATTCCCGATCACAGATCACTTGAGGTTTTTAGCGAAGGGGGCGATGGTTGCGGTGGAGACCTGGCTCGTATCTCCTCGATGTCCGGCACAAACTTGGCGATGGTCTTGTCGAGGTTCGGCTTGCTGGGGGAGCGACCGACGCGGTGTGGGGCCGGCAACACGAGGCTGGGAGCCACCTCGGTGTCCGGGGACGGGCTGGGCGTGCGCGACACTGCTTCTGGGGTCCTGCAGAAGCAGCAGCAGGAGCAGCAGAAAATTACTCTGCGTTATAACAAACAGCAACCCAATGGCGTTAAACAATATGCTTGAATACTAATTAAAATAGTTACCATGTTACTTGGGTTAAAAGGTTCTTTATTTAATCAAGTATGAAGCCATTGTGACATATCACCCGTTTTCCAATGGAGACCCTAATGACCGTGATTACGCAGGAAGCCCTACGCCAGTTGTGGAAATTCCACCTTCCTATGGAAGCGGATACATTAGCTATTGGAAATCCACTGCTGACTTTCTCACAAAAAAGGAGAAACCATTTTACCGACCCTGGATGGATAATGGGTTGAGTCAGCCACCAACCAGGATTTGCAAACCGTTCGCTCCAGTGCCGGTCAATAATCGTCAACGTGATACACGCTCGCCGAAGTGATTGCGAGGCAGCTCGAGCCGTGGCAAGGACGCTTGGCCGCCCGGCTCTCACGGCTGGAGACGTCGCGGGCTATCGGCGGTGCCGGCCATGGTGCGGTGCTCACCGCTGGTCCATGGAGCTGTAGCGCGTGTCGGCTAGGGAAGGGCAGGTGGAGGAGGGGGTGATGGTCGTGCTGCTGATGTCCGAGATGGAGAGGTCCCGCGTGAGGGTGGACGCCGTCTCCGACAGCTATGGTGGGGTGGGGGGGCGGTGGAAATCCGGCGTCAATGCCGGGAGGGGGAGGCAACGAGGGCGTGCTCGCAACAACGAGCAAGTTTGTGAAGCGAGGCTCGTGAGGGTCAGCTGGTCTCACCTTGTTATCACTGACACTGTTGAACACCTGGCTGAACTCTCGGTTGAAGGTGTGGGTCAGAATTCGCAGACACTGGAATGCACACATAGACGATAAAGAGGCATTGCTTACGATTATGCTTGGTCGTCTCATTCAGCAATCTGTCTATATCATATTCATGCAGCATAGAATGTGTATAAACTTTTGCTTAACCTACGCATCTGGTGCTGTGTGAGTCACGTGTAAAAGCAATCATGAAACAAACTAAACGCATCTGAAGGCGCTTTTGTATTTTGCGCAGGTTAAAGGTATCTCGGGCATGAAGCATCATGGGAAATAAATACTAGGAGAGCTGCGATGCTAATTCTCGTTAGGCAGCGCACACAGCAGCCAGGGGCGGAATGCCGCCCAGCCCGTGGATCTCTTTCTCGTGCTTCTCCTCCGGCTGCGCAGCGCTCGCATCGCCAAGGGCTGTGGTCATGAAATTTGAACCTTTTTAAACAGGTCTCGACATTGGTTTATTTATTTTCTCTCTAAATATCAACGACGAGTGTTTCAAGGGGGCGATCGCCCCCATCGCCCGCCCCTTGGATCCACCGCTGCACGTCGGCGGGAGGCCGACTGGGGGAGACCGGGCCCGGGGGACAGGGGTGACGGGGTTGACGGGGTTGACGGGGTTGACGGGGTTGACGGGGGTGACGGGGGTGACGGGGGCGACGGGGGCGACGGGGGGGCCGCGCGCGCGGCGCCACCTTGGCGGCGAGCTGCTTCTCGCGCTCCAGCAGCGTCTGCGTTAGCGGCGAGGCGTAGCCGCTGCTCTCGCTGGGCGTGGGCGTGTCCAGCGAGGGCGTGGCGGCCTCCTCGGCCGACGACGAGATGTGCGACGAGCAGCTGGTGGACGAGCTCATCATCCCGGCTGAGGCCGAGAGGGGGGACGAAGACGACGACAGGAACGAGTCGCAGCCACCGGCCGCCACGGCGCCCCCCGCCGCCGCCTGAGGCTTGTGGGCGCCGCCCTCCAGGCGCTCGCGCAGCAGCAGGAAGTGGCGCGTCTTCTCCACCTGCGCACGGCGGCACGCGGCGGGGCTCAGGGACTCGGAACGCGAGAGCGCGGGTTTGGACGAGTGAAGTGTCGCGCGTAGTTGCCACGGTCTGTGCGTGTGGTTAGTGACGCTTGATACTTTAAATCTGACATCTGAGCCTTCTACGTAGCACACGTGTGTGACTCAATTCCAACCAATGAGCTCTTGAGTCTCTAATGTCACCCACAGGCAGAGGTGCCTTCACGTTGTGATTACAAATTAAGATGAAATGCAGAATACACGACACAGACTTTCGAAAATAATTACATCGTAGAAGAAATTATAATTAAATACATAAATCAGTGCTGCAAGCTGCCTTCTCCAACCCACGCTAACCAGCACGGTGAAATAGTGCCCACGACCAACACCGCAGACTGACCGGAGGCCTGTAATGTACTATAATAATGAACATATTATTGACGGCAGGGATGGAGGGCGGTCGGCACTGCGCACCTCCTCCAGGTGGCTCAGGCGCTGCAGCTCCCACTGGTGGTCCAGGATGAGGCTGTCGCTCCGCGGCCTCCAGCCCGAGAGGTTCTCCTCCCCGCGCACGTATGCCACCGACGTGTCCAGCACGCGCCGCCTCCGCCTCTGCATGCCTGAGTGGATGCGCGAGCCACGTCACGACGGCGCAGCAGCTCCCCCAGGCCAAACTGGGCCACCGTGAGCTAATGCCGGAGCTCAAGTAATATGATGGGTACTTGAAGTTGAGATTTAAGTTAAGTTACGCAGAAAAGCCTCAATGGGGTCTCGAGTCCTCTTCAGGAGGGTGCTTCAGTTTTTTCAGGAGGGGGACAACGATTGATGTGTTTCACAATTAAGTGATTAATAAGTAATTTTTCAAATTTCCACAATGTTGCCCACACAGCCGACTGCTCTTCAAATAACATCATAGAATCTTTAACGTATACTGTGAAGCAGATGTCACTGTATGTTAACGTTAACACATCCGCACCGATAACCAGGGCGGCCTGGCGGAGTGAAACCGTGAACGTCTGCAACAAGCAGCGGACGCTCGACCGCTGAACCGCATCACAGCCCCAGTGGGCTGAGTGGGTGGTGGCCCAGCTACAAGACCGGCCTGCCAGGTGATTGCCTGATAGGTCTACAGCCCAGTCCAATCCTGACCTGACTCCCTCTCTCCAAGCCTTGCCCTGCTTACCCCAGTGACTCCTGCTGGCTGTCCTATGCAGATTCATGGTGGGGGGGGGGGTAGCAGGGAGTGCAGCTGTCGCCCCTTCATGATGGAGATTCATCATCATCAGGTCATCATTTAATATTACACTATCTCAAACCTTGTCCGTATAAAAAGGAATTATTATTTGGATGCAACATGAGAGGCATCTGATCCTTTAACTCATAAAATCAGGAAAGGGTGCCACAAGTTCAGTACCACCAAACCAACGGAACTGTGGTGACAGCTGCACCACCTGCCTTGCCTACACATTTTCTAATTGTTAGACAACTTGACCCTATGAGCTTCCAAATATTGCTGTCAAATAAAATCAAAGTGATCTGCTTAACTCGTGGGTGAACAATGCGAGGTCGTTCGGCATGGGACTTCATGATCAGTCCGGAAAAAATCAAACAGCGCAAATGCCTCGGCCGCTTGCTGCGGCACGATGCACCACACTCGCAGTGTGGCTGGGAAGAATCTGCCCGCGCAGTATCGCTCACCTGGGCTGCCATTGTCAGCCTGTCTGCAGAGGCTCAGCTCGTACAGCCCAGTGACTCGGTTACTGTCAAGAAGAAGCAAACAACGACACAGACTTTTAGAGTCTTTATAAATTATGATGCAGAGTTCACGGCAAAACAACTGCCCTGCTTGCCGAGTGTTGTGTACAGCATTAATTATGTATTTAACACAGTGGCTGAGCAGTGCGAAGGAAGAAGCAGAAATAAGAATTGTGACCTGCAGTGTGATGGTGAGCAGGTGAGTGAGTGGGTAGATGGGTATGTGAGTGATTGTGTTGTTGTGGTCTGCAGTGTGCTGGTTGAACACAGATTGAAGGAGACTGAATCCACAACATCTGTGAAGTGATGAGGAGGCGACTGACTACCGGTGATTGTTTGATTGGAGTGAATCAGTGATTGTGTTTGGTTACGAAGGGGAGCTGTGCCTCTTGGTAAGTACTCGCCAACGCTCTCTCACCAGTCAGGCGAGCGGCTGTACCCACTGCCGAAGAGGCTGCGCAGGGAGCGTGGTGGTGTGATCTTGGCATCACGGGCGTAGAACACCATGCAGAAGTCCTTCGTGATCACAGCCGGCTGCGAGCAGTTTTCCATCTTCGAGAGGAATGCACCCACACACGTGCACAAACACGAAACGCACACACGCACAAATACACGCACACATGCACAAATACACACACGCATGCACACAGTGAGCAATTCAGACCCTTGATGATGGTGTCATTTTCATTGGGTTTGCAATAGGCCTCCAGGTTATTACTAGAGACAGGATTCGCATGGAAAGACTTGGCCTGCAACATAAAAAGATGGAATTTCCACTCCTGGTTTAGGGTTACCAAAGGAGACATTGCATTCAACACCCATTTGAGCACTGTATTGGGAAAATATAAATATAACTTTTACTCTATTTACTTTGTTCATTAAAATCGTAAAGCAGCATTATATACTACAGCTTCAGACATGTGTTTGCCATGAAGCCCTGAATCAACATTCACACAGCAGTGGACCAATGCTGTTTCTTGCGAGTCAACTGTGCCCAAGGATGCTGCTCTCCACGCCCCCGACCCCTCACCTCCAGATAGGCTGACAGGGTCATGTAGATCTTCTCCCCATAGGGAGTGACACGGTTCAGCTGCAGCGAGTTGTGCAGCGAGCTGTCCCACACGGCCTCGAAGCGAAAGAACGTCCTGCGGTAGCGGGGAACGACGCGGTCAGCAAGACGGCCGGCTGTCCGACGAGCCGGCACCGAGCAGAGCGGCCGCAGGTGTTAGTGTGCCGTGGTGTGCCGCGTGATGGTGTGGATGGCACAACATGACGTGTCTGGATTCCTTCAGACCTAATTTTATTTTACCCGTACTGCTCCTACACATGTACTGCCGCTGCTGCTGATGCGGCCTAAGATTTGGCGCGAACAAAGTTTTTGCGAAGCGTACCTTTAATAAAATACGAACACGGCAGCGAAACCAAATGCAAACTATAGAAGCAAAGTATGAAGCGAACTTGAAATGCAAGTGCTTGCGGGAAGCTTGCAACATGAATTGCATAAGACGCACGACAGCACAATACCTAGGCATGTCGGAATCAAGACATTGCCTGCAAGAAATTAAACACAAACGTTAGTACCATCCTTGCGATGGAAAACAAAATAACATAAAAACACCAAAAAATGCAAAGCGTAAAACAAAAGACTCCGCGCATTACATAACACCGTCTGTAACACTTCTGTGCTCAAGATGACATTAACATGTGCCCTGCAATATATTCTTTAAAAAAATAAACAATTCGTATAACAGTATATCTATTAGATACGTGTGCACTTTTTCCCCAACAAAGTACAATAAAAAAAACTCCAAGTGAAAGGCATTCACCCAGACACTGCTCAAATTGTCAGCAGCTCTGAGTTTTGTTGGATGCACACAGCACAGGAGGAGTGTGGGAGCAAAGGCTCATGGGAGATTGGCAGGCGTGTGGGTGCACGTGGTCGGGTGCGGACGCACCTGTCGTCCCCAGCGGGGGAGATGTACTGGGAGGAGAGGATGTTCAGGGACAGAATCCCGGGGTCTATGGCGGCGCTCTCCTCGAACTCGGGCGACGTGCGGATACGACCTGACCACCGCACACGCAACGCGCACACGCACGTCCTCAAGTACAGCCGACTGAGACACAGGGACCCCTTCCCTCTGTCACTCCACACAATAGCGAGCAATTGTTTTTCTAGCAAGTGCCGACATGAGCTCGTGACGACTGGAGAAAACCCCCTACGGACGCTGCCTTGCCAAACCAGGCCGGAGTTTGTTCCATTCCAACCTTCCTGTTCGTGAGCCAAGCGCTCTCGCCTCCACGCCATCTCTCATCTAAACAATGACTGAATGGCAGTACTCAGTTGTGATGAGCGTGCACCATTGAAGTGCACTTTGTGTAACCACCAGGTGAGACCTCCAGAGTCCAGGATAGAGGAATCTCATTTGCAAGAGTGACCTGAGGGTGACCTGGGTCCCCACAAGGACAAAAGCTAAAGCATGAAAGAAGTGCCACGACACAGCATGTAGAAACCAGAAAAACAACGCGTTACAAAATAAATAAAAAAAGACTGTACAAACACACTTTTAAATACATTTTTAGTAAAATTAAGAAACATAAAAGGAAATATAGATTTTGGGTGATTTTTGCACAGGTGTGTAAACAGACAACAATTGTACAATAGCATCACACAGAATCGATGGCTCGCCATCACACTGTGATGAGACAGGAGAGTAACCAGGGCCGCCGCTTCTGAAGCAATGGCGTTCCGGGTGTTCAGGGCGCTAGTTATCAAGAGGCGTGCCAGCTTCCCGACTCACCGACGACGAGCTCGCGCACCTCCTTCCACTGCACCTCACTCTCCGTCTCGTGGATGATGGTCACCACGATGCGCCTCTGGATGCCCTGGTGGAGCGAGGGGGGGGGGCATGTGGTCATCAATACGACCCTGCCGCACCGTAGCATTCGATCGGCTACAACCGATTTTACACAATAATAATAGCTAATCAAAACAGACGGACGTGTGCATTGAGAGAAGGGAGTAACGGATAGGAATCTCTCAAGGTAGAGAGGAAAAAGAAATGGAGAGGTAAAAATGTAGACACTTTGCAGAGAAGGTCAAGGCCCCAAGCCTGTGTTTACAAAAAGATGGAGGGAAATTAAGATCATAGCAGGGAAAACCAGCTTCCCATTGAGTGGATGCTGACTGGTGGATTTCTCAGCATATTGGAAAATTCCTAAAGTGTCAGGCAGCGTGCGTCACGGTGAATTTATATTTCATTCCGAGTCCGGTACCCTCGTTAGTGGCCATGTAATAAATCCCCCTTGGCAGCTTGTCGAGTTCCCACAATTAATGTCAAGGATGTACGTCTTTGCGTTCTGTTTGGACTACCTCAATACATTGCCTCTGGTTTGTTGTCTGGTTTGTACCGTCTCATCGACTCAAATGGTCAAAATATAACATTGGCATATGATTTGCATGCCAACAGAAAACTGTCAATTATTACACGCACAATTTCATGCACGAGGGTCTGAACAGATTTAAATGATTAATCGAGAGTCGTTACACAGACACACGAGTGGGTGGATTCACCAGACAGGTTAGGCTGCTGCAGCGTTGAAATCTGCACGAGCGCTTCCGCGATAGCGTCGGTAAGGTGATTGAGCAGCGCGACGCTCACCTGGTGGAGCAGGTAGACTCCATGGCAGGGGATCCCACTGCTGTGGTCCACCAATGCGGGGATGTACCTGCACACACGGGAGGGAGCGTCGATGACCATCGCTCGCACCGCAGCTGTCCGTCACGGCAGCTCCTCGCAGACACTGTGCTCTCAAACTCGCCAAACACGAGGCCTCGCATTCTGCTCAAGGGTACAGACTGCTTCTGACTCCGGGGAACAATGAATCACCCAGAGATACAACTGAAACATAATTGTCTCTGAACCCATCATCATCATCATTAACATCAGCCGTGGTAAATCCAGCAAGGGATTAAGGTCTCCTGAAGTCACCACAACCTCTCACTATCCCGAGATGTTTTCCTTGGCTGCCACTGACCATCGTCCATCATCCCTTATAGCTGCGATGCGTCCTGCGGTTTGTTAGATGTTCTTAATCGACGTATCTTCTCTAATTCACGTGGCCTGTCTTTAAATCGTGCATTTCTCCACACTTCTTTGTGCACTGTTCAGGTTTTGTTTTGTATTTTTTTGTTATTAACCACGTTTTGTTTTTGAAGCCATCGTCCCCAGTAAATGCTGAGGTGGAAGCTGGCATTGCCAAGCCAAATACTGCAGTGAACAGGAATTATTAATGGATAGAGTCTGAAACAACAAAAACCTGGCTCTCACTCTACATCACGCATTGCACTTAATTCAGCATCGATGCGTGACCAACAAACTGCTGCCACTACAAAAAGTAAAATATACAGAGAAGATAAAAAATGTACGGCGTAACGTCCGCCGGAAAGTCGTGCGTTTGCGGCGCCCTAGGGAAGAGCGGCATGCGCTCCTCCACGTAAACGTCCATGGCCCTTCCTGTTCTACCCACAGGTGCACTGCCTTCACTCTTGACGTTCCTACGACCGCAATTTATTTGCGAACGTTAACAGAGAATTGGAAATTTCCACCTTTGTAAAGTAATACGCCGTCCCCTTTTTGCAGTGGGAGCATTTCCTTCAACTTTTATGAAACCAGATCAGAATTAAACGAGTGCAGTGGGAGCAGTGTAAAAGTGCAACTAACAAAAAACCTCGCCACCACCTTCAGCGCCAACACTGCCGCGTGGCATGAGCACAGGACGCCGCGTAAATGAAGAATGCGGTGAGTAATGAAGGTCTCTCAGGGAACGCCACACTGCGCTCGCTGTACTGCTCATGGAGGGCAGCGCTGAAATGGATAAGTGGCAACCGCTCAGGTGAAAGCAGATGGAAGGGGCGACGTGTACAGCATGGGCGCACGTGTGAGCGTGAGCGTGCGTCTGCCGAGCCGGCACGCGACAGCGAGGCTACTCACTCCCCAGTCGGCTCCAGCTCCGAGATCTCCACCCACAGCAGCAGGTCGTACTTGCAGTGGCACTGGCCCGTGTTGGGCTTGCTCACCGTGTTTAGCTTGGTGGCCGGCACTAGGAAGAGAGGGGGAGAAAGTCATCGTGCCCACCTGGAACGTCGTTGCCGACGGCCGCGGTGCCGACGGCCGCGGTGCCCACGGTGCCGCCGCCGGAACGCCGGAACGCCGGGCGAGCGTCCCGCACCCTCTCCTCTGCACGAGCGAAACCGCCATCGGGTCGGATCGATTTGCGCGTCCCGCCCGGTAGATTTTGCGGGCAGCCACTCGACGGTGGCCATTCCACTCGGAATTAGCAAAGCGTACAAGCGCCTGCGGTGTTTACAGACGGCAATTGGTGGGCAAGGAGGGAACTGCTCATCGGCGCCAAGACGCCGGCACATCTCCTCTAACACACCGCATCACTTTCGTAGTCGTCTCCCAATCCGGGCTCTGCCGGTAACTATTTAAAATAGATTTTAATGCGTGGATTTATAAATACGACTGTTAACCGTCAACTTTGAGTTTTTTTTACAATGGTTTAACTTTTGGCGGGCGTCCCGTTACCATGGCGCTGCAGGATGACCGGCGGGGCTAGCAGCAGCATTAGCGGTGGGCGGCCGCGGCGCCGGCGAGGGCCGCACAGGGGACGCTTCGGGGCGGCGGCCGGAGGACCGGGGCCCACCGCTGGTGCCGGCGCCGTGGGCAGCGCCGGCTCCAAGCTGTCCAGCAGCCGGGCGGCGGCGGACACGGCGACGTGAGCCGAGAAAGCGCCCAGCACGCACGAGCTCACGCAGCCGGAAACCAGACACTTAACGAGCTCTATCTTTCTGTCGTGATCTGCAGGCGGCGGTGGCGATGGAGGCGGTGGTGGAGGTGGTGGCGGCGAAGGAGGGTGGGTGCGCCCGAGGTGGAGGGTGATGAAGTGAGAATGGGGGGTGCGGCGGGTAGGGGGGAGAAAGGAAAAAAAACGAGACAAACAAAAACATCCATGCGATGCGAGACCATGCGGGGAAACGGAAACACAAAAACGCAATGTTTGAAAATCAAAATAACGTTGGTTTGGAAGCATGAAGATACTAAACAAAATCATGCAGAGGTTTTTTTTCCAAATTAAATGTTCAAAGTAAGCATTTTGTATGAAAAAACCTTTACGTGAGACACGGTAGATGAAAATGATGTTTTTCCAATGATCCGTGAAGACTTTGTTATTATTCTGCTCTGCAGGCCATCATCTACTCTGCTCTGCACGATCCACCTCAAGTGGAATCCTGGGACTGTCGACTATGCGGGTCCCCACACGACTACGCGTCGCCATCCTCACGGCGACCCCGCGGCCGGGGCGCTTCTGTTGCGCGCCGTGCGAGCCGGAACGCCGCGGAGCGCCCGGCGGGAGCAGCGAGTGGCCTACCTGGTTTGGAGAGCGGCATTGCCGGCGGGAAGTTGCGGCGGGAAGGCGGGATGGGGCTGCAGCAACACGTTGAGAAAGCAACGTCAAAGAGGCATCCTGGGAGGCACTGCGCGATATTCTGAGTGCGCGACTCAGTGTGCGCGACTCCGTGTGCGCTGTCATGGGTCCGTATCGCCCCTCCATGTTTTAAAAAAATCTTTCTCCAATTTAATCCTAACCCTGGATTGTGACAATGCATAGAATGTACCACTAACATACAACTCTTGTGTGTGCGTATCTGCTTGTGTATGCACGCCCATGTGACCGTCTCTGTGTGTACACACACCCACGTCCTGATGTTTGTGTGTGGGGAGTTGTGGTGCAGCGCTATAAACCCGGCACTGCGCTATGAACCCGACAACCCGGGTTAGATTCCCGCTCATGGCCAACACCAGTGAAGATTATCTGAACCGGTCCCGGTCGACTCAGCCTCAAATGAGTACCTGGTGCGGTGTGTAAACATCGCCACTGGGGAGAAAAAGGCGGTCGGGCATGGTGCTGGCCACCCACCCCCTCGTGTACCGTTCTGGCCTTCATAGGTGCTCGTGTTCCTTTGTGTACCCGTTTGCGTACACAAATCCATGACTGTGTACATGCTTGTGTATACATTTGCGTACACACCCCCATGTGCCGACATTTGAGTGTACAGGTTTGTGCACACACACCCATGTCGCTGTGTGTTTGTGTACACACGCCCATGAGACTGTGTACGTGTTTGTGTACACAGGCCCATGAGACTGTGTGTACGTGTTTGTGTACACAGGCCCATGAGACTGTGTGTACGTGTTTGTGTAAACAGGCCCATGTGGCTGTGTGTACGTGTTTGTGTACACAGGCTCATGAGACTGTGTACGTGTTTGTGTACACAGGCCCATGAGACTGTGTGTACGTGTTTGTGTACACAGGCCCACGTGTGCCCCCACCTGCTCAGCTCCCCGCTCTGGTTGTGCAGGGGGTGTTGCTGGTAGTGACCGAACACCTCAAACACGATCGGCTGGCTCTTGATGTACTCCACAAACGACTTGGTCACTTCCACGGCAATCTGCAACAGAGACCAGAACACTGAACAACACCCTTCGTCAACACCCGAGGGCCTCACTCTGTGTCCAGGCTAATGTTCAGGAAAGGGCAAATGTATTTACATTCATATTTATGTTTAGTTGTTTTTGCTCTAATCACCATTTGCGTCTGCACTTTATTCCATGCTAAAGCCTCCGTCATTTTGGTGACCCCACATCTGTCAATTTTGTAAATGAGACGATTCTGAAAACCTCGCTATCCTTGTAACGACGATGACAATGACGTTGATGATGATGTGAGAGGTGTCCTCACATTCTGGACGTGGTAGAAGGCGAGAGGCGGCAGGCCTCGTCCCGAGTTCTTGAGGGGCTCTGTGGAGAACGCCTCGTCGTGGCAGTGCAGGAAGCTGCCGCACGGACCACAGTTTTCAAACCGATTACACGACGGAACACAATTTTAGTTCCTGGGTAGTAAGTGTCATTTCGTAATTGCTTATGCCTATAAAGTATATAAAATGGCTATTATTCCCCACAAACTTTGATTCATATGTTGTTTTTTCTGACTTATTGTGAACGAAAAGACACAAATTCACCCGTTTTATCATTGAAAATAGGTAAATTTCAAAACATCACTGTCCTGGTCACAAAGGCAAAGTGTGTGGGGAATAATAGCCATTTTCTATACTTTCGAGGCATAAGCAATTAGGAAACAACACTTACTACCCAGGGACAATAATAAAATTGTTACACAGTGTTATCTTTGAGCACATTCATATCTATATTCAACACGGTTGCTGAGCACAAGCCTTAGAGGCCCAAAACGTCAAACGGCCAGGAACAAACAGCTCTATCAAAGATGTAATCGATGAGTCAACTCGTTCATTGAATGGAGTACTCATGAGAGATTAGGAAAAAAGATGGGTGGGGATTCCGAAGAGGAGCAGTGGTTCAGTAGAAGCAGAACGAGAAGTGGTTTGCCCTGAAGTGTGGCGAGTGGTTGAGAGTGTTGGTTGTAACCTGCAGTGTGGTGGTTGAAAACAATGCGGATGCGATGACAGATTCGGTGTCAATATGAGTGGAGGCATCAATGAGTGAAGTTCACAGGGACAGTCATCGATTAGGAGCCATCTGACTGCTGGTGAGCAAGTGACACGGGTAAAGTAATGTTTTTAAAATGTGATTTACCCATAGCTACGGTATGTTTGGTAATTTTCGCAGCGCTGAGTATTGGGCAGCAGAGAGCAGTGCAGCAGATGCATTGTTTACCGTCTGTTTACTGACATCAACGCAAAGCCCCCTTTCTCGTGGTCATGTGTGCCATGAAGATAGGCACATTCCTCGAGATATCACACACAATAGATTTCCCTCTGATGGCCAGTGTTATTGATAAATGTGTCGAGCTGTTGAATGTTTTTTTACGGAGCACCCTTTACGTCAGGGCATCTCAGAGAGATGTACACGCGATAAACAACAAACATTTTGAAAGTGCACCCTCAGTGGCAGCTGTCCCTGTGCGGCAAAACGTGACTCGGTACCTTGCCCGCGAGCGGCATTAGTCTGCCGGGGGGGGGGGGGGGGCGACAATTGCCGTGCGTGACCCCAGTCGAGCAGTTGTTGATGTTTGCCTGGCGCTCGACTCACTTGAACTGGCAGAAGATGTCGGCGTACTCGGGCGGGATGCCCGAGGCCTGCAGCACCGTCACGCGGAACGTGAAGGTGCTGCCCAGCGCCAGGTGCTCGCCGGCGCGCTCCGCCAGCGCCCCACGTAGCACCCGGGCGGGGCTGCCCAGCTCACTGCCCGACTCTGAAAGCAAACGTCGTTTTATTGTTCGTTGTTGTTGTTAGAAATGCCGTTGTGCAAGAGTTGGCACATTTGACTTCATCGTATCCAACACGTCTCTGATCAATGTGGAGGAGTTGACCAAATAACCTACAGGGTTCCCTCTAGGCCAGTTCACTGGCAGTGACATGAGTGAGCAATTGCAGGTTTGCAGGTTCGCGCCTTTACCTTTATTTAGTGTTATTATTATTATTGCAAAAGTGACCAACGTGGCAGTTAGTTTATACACTTCTTTGTATCATGAGTGAAGCTTCAAAGTTACACCCCAAGCCAGTCAATTCCATATTTCTATGGCATAAACAGTTATTTTTGTAGGGCATCCGCTGCTGACGCTGGGTGCACAAATGTGACGTCACGGTGCGAGTGCACACTGCCGACCGGACTGGCTGCTGGCGACGTTGTTGTTGTTGTTTTCCTCCTCGTCCAGGGAGTCGGTGTCCATCGGGGGACCCTGCCCCTCCACCACACGCAGCTCCTCCTGCGAGGCGCCCACCTCCGCCGGCAGCTCCTCCTGCAGGAAGGCCTCGCGGTCGCCCTGGCGGCGGCAGAAATTACAACGTGACGTTTCCAGTGCACGTAGAGGAGCCGGGGCGAGATCCCAAGAGACCAGGAAAGAGTCACTTGCAAATATGACTGAACTGGGTCACCAACACGATAGCTCAAAGAGTAGCTGGTCTAAACGACAAAATGGCCACACTTCTTTGAGCTTGTGATCTTTTGTACATGCAATGTTGCACAATTTTGCGTGTTGTTATATCTGGGTTTTTTCCCGCCTGCACTCATGTTTCTGTTGTGATGGGTTTACTGATCAGATACAGATGTGGATTATTGTCATCTCTCACACCACCACCGCCACTGTATTTTTTTACATGGTAACGCTCTGCCAGGAAAGCAACATGGGTGTTTGCGCGAGGACCTTCCAACAGCACAAGCACACAAACACATTTCTCGCATCTTGATGCCACAGGAGACTACAGAGACCTCGGGCACTTAAGAGCAGGTCGAGTGCTTTATTACAAGGCTCCTTCTCTGCTGACTGGCGTCTCCACATACATCACAAGTAACCCATGGCAGCCATCGTAAAATGGCTCTTTAGCTTTGGACACAATAAAAGGGTGGACTTGAATATCCCTGCCGCTTGGCTGTATCGAAATGAAAATAAACATCTTCTGGAATTGATTTCGGGTGGATGATATGTAATAAGGATCGGTCTCAAGAACACGAGGCGATCATTTATCTCATGGGCTGAGCTATGGTCCTGGCGGTGGCAATATCCTGGTGTTGTGTATGTCTTTGATTAACAGGCAGCCGGGTCTGTCAGGGGCTTTGAGTGTCATTGCTTGTGATAAATGTTTGATGCGACGAGACGCAATGTCAAAATCACTTTGCTAGGATGTCCGATTAAGGCCGGGGGTTTGGACAGAAATAATTTGAGCTTCACCTTTTTCAGGTCAAAGAAAAGGGTACAGTAATATTTTAATATATGAAGTTATGAATAAATTCATAAGAGAACATAAAATTGGATGAGCAATTTCTTTGTTTTATGAACATTTGGCTTTTGACATTGAGGGTCAGATTCAAACAATACATGTAAATAATGACAATAAATATTCTTAGCATTTCAGTTATTGTTTTATGTACAGGAATGGACTCTATTTGGCAAAGCACTCACAAATTGCATTCATAGAGCATCTCCACGTGGGCTGCATCCCCAGGGAATGTACACGGCTGGGGGACACGTGCATAAGCGAGACGCGTAACAAATGGGTATTGTTTATTTAGGAAATGCATCTCTGCCCCGTGGGGGAATGTCACAAAGATGATGGTATGCAAGTAACAGAGTAATAGAAAGAGGCAGTAATAGTCTGCAGAGGGAAGGAAGATCTGCAGCATGGGCCTGACCAGAGTGAGGAACTCTGCCATGGAATTCCAGAGCACGGGGGCACCGCAGAGACGGAGCGACCACGAATGAGGATTGTCCCATTCCTGCATTCCCACGTTGCGTCTGCAATGCGAGGAGCGCAGCACGCGGTCTCTGTATTTGCTTAGCAGCCGTGCCCAAGATCTCTGCCCCTACCCTTCACCGGCGGGGACCGCAGACTTTGCCAAAACAAAGACGCGCAAAATTGCAAAGCGTGCCCCTCGCGTGCATTCGCACCGCCCGGCTTGCCACGGGAGCTCGCCCAGCGTTCACGTGCGTCGGAGGGCGGCCGCCTCCGCTCTGCGTTGCCGCGGAGCAGCCCACAGGAAACGCAGCCCCACGTTTTGCTCCCCACGGACTGCCATTAGGCCTAAAAGCTTCCCGGCTGCCCCTGGTAATCAGATGGACTTCATGAATTTAAAATGAACAACAGTAGTGCGCCTGTGCAATGAAAATTGATCTTTTAAAATAAATAATTAAATACCCCTGATTCATAAAGGCAGCTTTAAATTACACTTACATTTTTTGGTGTCAAAGAAGTAAATATACATCCAGGTAAATTAATGTGCAGCAGATTAGGAGGATAACAGTGTGCAGTCTTGGACCATTAATTGTGCAGAGAATCCACCCCTCCTCCTTTGCACGTGACCTTTATTTTGGTCATTTATCTACAGCCCAATTCTGCAACCTTCATTATTTGGCAAATCGTTCCATAATATGCTGTCGTGCAATCCTATTGGTCATTGTAATGACTATATCTATAGGGTATTCATAGCAGATAATATAAATGAACCAATAAACGAGACGTTAGGAATCGATTCTTGAACGAAACTGTGGCCCTGCAAGGTGCCAATGCACGAGGTCTGTGGCGGGTGAATCGCTGCACGCAAACCACCAGGCCCGGCGCCTCTCGGCTATGGGGGGCAGTAGAGCAGTAGAGCTGTTGTGTGCACCACCACGACAGCAATAAATAGCAAAGGAGAGCGACCTTGGGTGGTCCCCAAGGGACAGCTGCTGGTGCATGGGGCCCGGCCTGGCACCCATCAGCTCTGGCCCTGCACCGCCACAAGGTAAGGACCTCACGGCGCACGGAGACGCCGCTCAATGCGTCGCCGATCTCACCTTGCGGAAATATTGGTCGTCAAACGATATCTTGGCCGTGCCTGACTGCCGCACACCGGAGCCGTAATCTGGAGCTTCGTCGTCCGCTGCCAAAACAAAAATCCACACCGAGCCCGACGATTCCAATGTGCTGACCAAACCCAGCTTTACATGGAATTTGTTGGATAAGTAGCCACATAGGCAGAATGAAGAGGTAATTTGGCCTCCTCCATCAAATTAGATAGATTTAGATACCGCTTGGCTGAAGCACACAAAGTGTCAAAGCAGTTTCCTGCTCAAATGAGCAATGGGGCAGTGCTCATCTCCTGTTTACAGCACAGGCTCAAGGCTTCCCATTGTGCAGGGGCAACAAAAACAGATTCTCATAATCAAATCCTCAGCATGACTTGTGACAATTCGTCAAATAATAGTAAATTGTTATGCAACTATTATTAAGCATTGACAAGTAATATTGTGTATAATCACAGGACTGAGGGTAAATTGAAATAATTAATAATGTCCAGCCCTCTGCCCATTCACTGCTGGATGAAGGTCTCTCCACACGGTGTAGAACATCGGGGCTGTTTCACTATACTTCACCACACCGGTCAGTGCCAGGTGGTGAAAGGAGAAGGCGGGCCCAGGACCAGTTTAGAAATGACTCGACCACCGGCTGCAGCCGTGACCGGGAATCGTACTCGGGTTGCTGCAGTCGTCACGCAGTGAACTCATTGCCGAGTCGCTCCTCTAACTAAACTAAACTTCATGGATCGTGGCTCCTGAGAAAGCAAGTTTGTGAAGCTCATTAAGTTGCGATTCAATTCCTAAAACCGCTCCCCTAAAATGCACTGCAACAGCCATACCATATTCCGAAATGATTCTGCACACACGCACGATAAATGTGGCACTAAATTGCATAAACGGCTCATTAAAAGTAATCAGAGGCCCATAAAAGAAAATAGGTTTCAAGGCCATTACTTATGCATCTCATTAAAGAAGTCACCAAGCTGCACATTTAAAATTTTCACATTAACGTGACATTATTTTCACCCCATGGGTGAGGGCGCAAGGCTGAAGGTTCTGTGCAGATCATGCCAATTAGAAAATTTCAGACAAATGAAAGCTGTGCTGAAAAAAAATTCGCAGTTGTACAGTTTGACACAATTTATCCGTAACAGTGCCAGAGCATTTACATCCAAGGGACAGGACCACGCTGACAAACCATCAGATCCCAGCCACATGACGCTCACACGTGGAGGTTATAACGTCAATGCCTGCTCTATATAAACCAGGCACAATCACCCCGTGGGGCTCCAAGTTACACAAGTTGTATGCATGTTGGTCACCGTTAAGGCAAATTAAAAGATTCATATCACCGAGTCAACTAACCCATCTGCAGGACGGTGTGCAGGCTGCACGTCGATACATTTATTGTGAATTTTCTTTAGATGGTGGTGATGACGAGGACGAGGGAACCAATGATGGTGATAACGATTGTAATGGCAGTGGTGATTCTGACGATGGCAATAATGGTGATGACAGCGATGATGAACACGACTGAGAAAGCGATGACATCGGTGACGATGACGCTAACAATGAAAGTGACGACAATAACGATCGACAATGGGACTGGATCTTCCCGAAGATGGCAGAGATGAGGACGATGCTGGGGACGCAAGAGGAGGCGGCGGGCCCCACCTGTGATAGCCTGCACGGCGACGCGCAGGAACCCCTTCACCTCCCCGCGCTCGTTAGCCACGGCGGCGGTGTGCACCAGCGGCACGGGGTAAAGCAGGTTGCTCAGGTACACGAACGCCCTGGGGGGTGGATGCAGCGGGAGGCGGGGCGGACAGACGGAGGGCATGGGGGTCAGGACCAGCGGGTGGAAGCAGGTGGTACACGAGGCATTGGGGTGATGATAAGGGCAGCAGCGGATCACCAATTTAGCGAGCGCTTGCGTCACCCACACAACAAATGCCCTTTTGTTCAGTTAATACATTTTTGTTCACATTATGGTAATTAAGAAAGTAATAATCATGAGTAGGTACATTAAAACTAAGAAAAATAGGATATGGCAGTCAAAAAGTAAACAATAAATTTACGTTGCCAAATTATTATTAATCACCATCATAAGCACATTTTGTGTTAACGCCAATCATACGGTTACCACCAAGAAGGAAGGCGCTGCTATGCTTGACAGACGAAGTCTGCACGAGTCTCACAGGAAAACGCGATGTCGCTATGCGTAATCGCAATGGAGTCATTTGCGGGTAAATTAAAAAATTGGTAAAAATGCGGACCGTGACGATGGCAAACTAAATTAATCCACAAGGGGAATGAGCATGGCATTTGGTGTGCAGAAAAACAAATGAAACAAAGCGGCCATGAAGACGAGGGTCAAACACGGCAAATGGAATTGTGCGACTCCACTGTGAGAACGCACGCAGGCGCCGGTGCGTGACAAAGCGCCCTTGGTTGAATTTCGATTTAAAGCTTTCGTGACTGCAGGGATTCATCTTCTTGGTTCTTTCGGTAAAGTCATCTGAGGATGGCTGCTTGCGTTGTGGCCGAAACGTCGTGAGAATTATTTTATTATGTTTTATTTTTATTATTTTATTATTTCCCTTCTACGTGACTTTACCGAAAGAACCAATAAGACGCCCTTGGTTGGCTAAACAAAGTGTGGGGGAATGGATGGGGCCATCAACAACAAACAAAATATGAAAATCAACTGAAAAAAATGATAAAAGACAAAAGTCACAGTCAACAAAAAAAACACTTTATTTTTTATCAAATGTAAACGAACCAAAGACACAAAATGAAACTCAAACAGAAAATGTGTTTTATTTACAATGATTGAACTTAAAAACGAACACATGAATTGGATAATAATGTAATGGATTAAATTAGCTCTTAGCAAGATGTATAAACACCTAAACATGTTTTTTATAATTGATAAAATGAAGTGCTTTAAGTATTTCTTTAAAAAATTGTGAAAAAATTGGCATTTTCCATTTTTGGCAGAAAAATAAACAGGCTGTGATGTTACCCAAAAAGGAGTAGAAACTGCCTCTCCCAATGACACGTTTTATCGAGGAACCCCACCAAGGGAATGTAGAACTTCCACCAGCAGCCCAAAGCAGCTATGAAAACGAGCAGCATCGCCCCACTGCTCACTCAGCCGAGAGCAGCATTGCGACATGGCGACACAAGTTTGGCGATTCGCCGCCGTCGATGGAGACATCGATCACTGGACAAGAGCAACCGCAAGCGGCGACAAGTGCAGCCGAGCGCGTGACCGCGACCTCGACGGGAGGCGCGGAGGGAGCACGAAGTGAGTGCAGCCGGAGGCCCACGGACCTCCCGAGGAGGCTGAACCACGGCGATCGGTCGTAGAATGGGTCGAGCTCCCCGTGCAGCAGGCCCGAGCCGGCGGCCCCCGACGGCCCGTCGAGCGGCCCGTCGTCCAGCGAGCTGGCCTCCGAGCCCGTCGTCTCGTCGTCCACGAACGCCTCGTCGTCCAGCAGCTCCAGCGCCTCCTCGTCTTCGTCGTCGTCGTCGATCCTGCGGCCGCGAGCGTCCCCGTCGCAGTCGGAGCTGCCGCGGCCGGCGCGGCCGGCGCGACCGGCGCCGCGGCCGCCACCGCCGCCCTCCTGCTCGTCGGCTAGCTCCGTGATGTCGGACTCCCCGCCCAGCGAGAAGGTGGGCGACGGCGTGAGGTCGGCCAGCCGCTCGCTCACACACGTGCTGAAGAGCGGCGAACTGGCGTCACCGTTTCATTCATTTCGAGCGGGGAGAGGGTGTCGTGTTTTTGTTTTTATAATAATTTGTGTTATATTTTTGTAATTAATTAAGATTTGATGATGAATATGTTTGTGATTTTTTTGGTAAAAGCAATTTTTTAAATGTTTTTGTAATTAGTTAATTAGCACATTCATTTCATTTTGTGGATTTTGTGATTTTATAGTACAGTGCAAAGGGAAGAGTGGGGGGGCATGGAAGGAGGGAGCGGTGTGAGTTTGGAGGTGTCAGGGCAGTGGTGGGGAGGTGGAGGAGGGGAATGAAAGGGAATCAGTGTGAAAATAGTGGCCTAAACGAGAAGCAGCAACAGGGAGTGTCATCGCTCACACAGGTTTAGACGCACACAGAAACGCAGGCGCCACCGCGTGCTTCAGCAGCGGCCCGCTCGGTGCGCTGGAATCCTTGTTGCCCGCGAAACCCCGAGGCACTATCGGAGCGCGTCTGTGACGGACTCTGTGGCCGGCGTTGATGCAACGTTGATGCAACGCTGGCCGTGAAACACCGAGCTGGCCAGACCAATGGGGAGCAGACCTCTTTCCGTACAACATTGCAAAGCGGTGCGGAATTGGAGAACGCAATAGTTATGGCGGCCCGGTGGACCAAATCGTCAGAGGCAATCTCTTTTGTACGTAGAACCCATGCAAATTTTTTTAATCAAACCCAAGCACACATGGGGGGTCACACGAGGCCAACTACAACTTCTGGCAGAGACAGAGCCAGCACAGGAGCCAGCTGCACCACCGACAGCACTTGTCCCCGTCACCGCACCGCGACGCCCGACTCGCACACCAGAAGCGTCGGTTCCTCGCGACGGCGCTCCGGGGAGCAGCAACCACAGGAGGCGTGAGCGTGGGGGGGGGGGGGGTACAGCAGTAGCAGCAGCACAGGGCTCTCACCTGCCGACGAGCCGGAACCAGGGAAAGCGGTCGTAGAAGGGGTCGTGGCCCGTCATGCCGGGTTCCCCATCCTCGGACGCGTTGGACGATATCTCCCCGGCGCGGTCGTACATCTCCCGCATCGTGCCCAGCCGCTGCCTGCCAACGCCAGTACGATGTGAACATCTCCGACATTGATTTAAATTGATATTGTTTACCCAGAAAAGCCACACAGAGTCCTTTTACAGGGAGATTTTTGCCCATTACTAGTTTCATTGTATGTTTGTTTAGCCGTGGTAAACCCAAAAGAAACCCATGCAGAAAAGGGAGAGAATATGCAAACACCTCAAAAAAAGGTGCTCAAGGGAGGAACTGAACCCAGATCCTCATTGCTTAGAGGCACGGGTCTCACCACTGCGCCTCTGCATCGGGCGAGCGACACCTCTACACCCACCCCGACCTAGCCTTCACGACCGGGTGAACCATTATGATCTGGGGTCTCGTTTTTATTTTTCAAGTTATTCTACATCATGTGGGTTTTTTCATTTGCCTAAACGTAAGATTTTCATGCAATTTGCAGACAATTTGCACACATGACGAACCTGGCTGAGTAACTACACGCAGTGCCCTTAGGCGCCTGTAATGGAGCACTACCGACTGAGCGGGGAGACGATCGTTTGACTTTCAAAACTATCCGAAACAAACACGAGGAGCTAAACACACAAGTCACTTTCTGACTTCCTAGATTTTATTAGGACTTCCTGCATTCTCTCCTGAAGATGCTTGGCACCTTTTCAAGTGAAACGTCGCGGATCTAATTGCCAAGTGTGGCTGTAAGAAACGTTCTTCACCTTATCATTGTGAGCTGAAACAATCATCAATGGCGCGTTAAACGCTTCTACACCACGTGACCATTTCACCTTTCTCTTTTCGGGTGGTGGAAGGTCTGGCTTGATCGTTACTTGGCTTTCTTCAAAAATAGTCTTCGAATTACAATTTTGGTTGCCAAACCTACGTGTTAAGTGTAATGTCACACAAGTTCACGTGTTCACATGTTCTGTGTGCGAAACCCCCCCCCCCAGGCCAAACACTGGTTTGGCCTGGCCTAGCGTGGCCTGGCCGAGTGTGGTTTATCATGGCCTGGCAAGGCGTGCCCACTCGCCGGAGCTTGTCGAGGCTCCAGTAGTGCGTCGCTCCGTTCTTCAAGTCCTGCACCTCCACGGCCACCACGGTGCGGGGGAATGGGCGGTCGCCGGCGTCGTCGCGGTCACGCTGGCGCGCCGCCTCCGGAGACAGCAGCTCGGAGGGCAGTGGCGAGTAGGCCGTGTCGGTCAGCAGCACGAACTGGAACTGCACCTGCACACGCGGTGCGCAGCAGCATGGACGCGCTCACTACTCGGACGTGACGCGGCTTCCACACGCGACGCTGTCCTGGCAGTGACGCGATGGGCGGTGCAGCAAAGACTTTGTAACGATTGTAACACCGTGCGGTGTTAATTAGTGCTATGCTTGTTTACTAAGGGAAACCTCACCGAGTCTCAAGACTCTTTTTAAGGAGGTTCCTGCTCAGATAATCGCAACAGGGGGCGGCGATTACGATTACCTTTTAAGTAAATTTGTGAGTGATTTTTATGAATGTGTCAAATTTTGGCCGCTGACGCTGGCAGTGTCATATTCTTCTTTGAATTACCTCACCGGATCTTTAACGTCCACTGTAACCACAGAGTACATTGATTTAAGATTAATACACCCGCAGTGTGCATCTCAGCGGTCTGCCGGATATGAACCACAAAGGTCTGGCAAACGAATGCCCACTTGCCGGCCGGGTGCCCAGTCACCTTGTGCTGCACAGGGACAGCAGCCACTGGGGGTGCCCTTTCTAACGTTTGAGATGAGACGTCACGCAAGTGGCTTATCATGCGTAAAGCACGCCGAGACGCCCTGGCGAAGAGCAGGGGGACGATTAAAAGCCAATCATCCTCGTGGGCATCGTGGGCATCGTGACGTACCCTCTTCCTCAACTCCACGCTGATCGCGTTGGCCTCCTTGAGGAAGATGGCGTTTCCCCAGAGTTGGTCGCGCAGGGATGTGAACTGGTGGTACTTCCACTTGCGGAAGGCCCACAGCGCCAAGTTGAACTCGCCCTCCGTCCATTGAGCTGCCGACACAATGGGGCCACGGAGGGAAAACGCGCGTACGCACACATACGTTTACATAACAGGCACCGCTGCGGATTTAGAAAGCACAAGATACGCCAACGTTAGAATCCTGCTGCTGTCAAATCTCGGGTGGAGCACCCAGTTCCTCGCTCACTGCACTCGGCAGCATTCAAAGCAGCAGTCAGGGCGATCGATGATCCAGAACTCACCACTTCACTCTAGTCACTCACTTAGCGGCAGTCAGTCGCCTCCTCATCACTCTTACATCACTACCACTACCCTAGTTACTGTTCCGTGAGCCATCGCTCTACCAGACTGACTGTCCATACCATGTTAAAGCACCACACCGCAGGTCACAACGTTTACCCACCCACCGACCCATCCACTCACCATACCGCAGATCACAGCACTGCTCTTTCTGCTTCTTCCCTCGCATTGATCCACTTTAGAAAGTCCCTCCCTTCAACTTTTCCCAAGCTCTTATAATAACCTTTCTCCATTCAAAACATGTGTTAATACTTATCTATTACAACTCTGAAAGTGCTTTTTGTTGCTGGCTGCCTGACATATTGTGCCTTTGAGCCTGTGGGCCTATGCTCTGTTGAAACAAATTGGAATGCGGGCACCATATATTCTGGCATTTCCATGCACATACAGACACAAATTCACACAATCAGACATGCACACACAGACTGCTGGGGCAAGTGCTGTTAGTGAGCAAGTATGAAGTCCAGCACGGGCACACCATGGTCGGCTGCCTCTGTATCCCAGTGCTTTTGTTTACACACCACACCAGGTACTTATTTAAGGCTGAGTTGGCCTTGGGGAGGCCCAGCACTGGTTGAGATATTTGCCACTGTTATGGGCCCTGAGTGATCGCCGGGTTCGCAGTGCAGAACTAATCACCGCTCCCCGTATATGTCCACACACACAAGAAAAAACGATAATTTTATGCGAGTAGCAAATCGTGGCTCCAGTATGAGAAGGAACTAATTAAGCTCGCGGTTTCACATTCCAATCAAAATTTTTCAATTGTTTTTCAAAATTCTTTATAAATGCCTAACTTGGCTTGTTGTTTTCCAGATGAATATTCTCATCAACAGTATTTAATCGTAACCTTCCCTTGTTTATGCAACTGCTTGTCTTGAATTGAATCACGTTTTTATGTTAAGCTATTCTATTTTATCTTGCCATTGTAATGATCCCGTGCGTTACTTTGAAGCGATTCTCCACTCGAGACGCGATGAAAGAACATCATCATCGTTAATCCATCAGCAGGCTGTACTTGAGTCCGAGAAACCAGACATGGACTAAGTTGCCTCCTCAAACTGGATTAAGGAGCAGACACTGGACTCGGTAATTGTCTGAAAGGTCACGGAAGGCCACGGGCACAAACACAAAGCACGGAGAGGAAAAGTAGCAACTCGGAGGATGAACGTCATTAAAGAGGCACAACCATAAATTCTGTTGCGCCTGGCATATGCAGCCTTGGCTGCTGTGTTGTCTCGAGGGGCCTTGTGCCTACATCTCCTCCCAATTCGCTTGGGCGTGGGAGGAAATGGGAGGCGAGGTCCGAGTTTGGGGGAAGCAGAGGACGAGCTCCAGAAAAGAGGCACATGCAGGGATTTACTGGAAACGCTCCGGGAATTTTCGACGGAACAGGGCCCGCGGGAAGCGATTCATGCGCACCTGTACGATGCCAACGGGAATCTGAACACCGCAACACCGTTGTGGGAAAATAATCAAACGACACGCGATTTCTGAGATGTATAAAATCGGGGACGTTAACATATAGCCAACGTGTGAAGCAAACGTAACGATCTGGCCACGTGTCGTTAAGTTCCTCGACCACCCAATGCAGACAACAAAATGTAAAAGTTGCATGTACACAGCGTTTAACGCACCAGGTAATACTGTCTGGCCGTCACAAATCTAGCTGTCGCCTGTTGAAGCTAGTTGTAATTACTGACGAAACGTCGTACTCCGATTGTAATATTGTGGCTTGGCTATCCTACACACACGTGTGTGCTGTACAAGTAACAAATTGGCACGTTCTCTTTATGTGACAAACCTTACTAATTGGCTGTGTCGGGTGGTGGCAGGTTTAACGACACATTATATTTACGCGATCTAACGCAAAAAACCTGCATTAAGGTAATAGTGTTTTGCCTCACTACTGAGTTAGCGAACAATTCTCACAACCTAGAATTTTAAATTCAATTATGAATCATAGTATTGGCTGTGAAAACCTTTATCTCGTTGAAGCAGAGGGAGGGGAAGACATTTGAAGGGAAAGATGAGAGGAAGCAGGTGCTTGGTTCGTTGTGTAAATCAACTGAACACAATTCCTTGGTTTCCCCAGAAAAGCCTCACCGAGTCTCAGGACACTTTTTTATGGTCCTGCAAAGTGTCGCAGTAAAGTTGGACAATTGCTATTTGCCAATTAAGTACTTTTGCAGTGTCATTGTTTTAATATGGACCACTCTTGCAAACACACAATGACCTACTCTTTTTTGAATGATGTCACATTGTGAATCAGGCGGTGCATAGTATTACTTTAATATACCTGCAGTAATAATAGCCAGGGCAGCCTGCCAGATTCAAACCGTGAATTTTACCAACAAGCGGCAAATGAGCTACTGCTGGGTCCAGCGCCACCAGGGCGGTGCTCCCGGTGAGGCTACCAGAGGAAAGTAACCCGTGGCTTTGCGTCGCGCCGCCGCAGAGGGGCGGCTCACTCACCCTCGTCCTCCGCGTCATCGTCGTCCTCGTCGTCGACGTGCGGATCCCCGGTCAGGTGGGTGTCCACCTGCCGCTGCAGTGCGAGCAGGCGGTTCTCGTATTCCTGACGCCATCCGTGCAGCGTGCGTACGAAAATACACCACAGGCGTAAAACATCCGCCACGGGCGCCGGGTGGGCGGCACGGAGCGAGAACAGGCGGTGCGCACGCCACCGCTGCCGTGCATGGGTTCGACTGTCACCGTCATCCGTGCGGCGTGGCCTGCTCGACCTGGCATCGCCGTGGTTTTGGCAACGTGGCACTTCCGAGAGAATGACTCACCCCGATGAGCATGGCAAAGTCAATTTGTTGAAGCTCAAATGGCTCTTTTATAAGATTCCATTAGGTGATGTGCCTAACCAGAAAATTAGTTCCAATCTGGGTATCGTTGGCAAAGAACATACGTGTGCATGTGTGTGTGTGGCAAGTGATGGCGAATGGAAGGTTTTGGAGCTGTTGCTTGAGTGAGTATGGATGGCGTACACTGTCGGAGAAACCAACACCTGTAGAAATGAACACAATGCGCGCTCGCCTCTCGTGCCTGCTCAATTTATTTAACCCCCAGCTCAACACGCGACGGTGCTCGCAACGCCACTCTCACTCCCTCCCACGGAGACGACGCACAAACCATGCACGCTGGCACAGGACACGGGCGGACGGGGGGCGGGGAATGGGGGGGTCACGAGCGGATGGGAACGATGCATTGTGGGGGGCAATGGACCCCACATATTTCTCCTTCGTTCCCCTCTGAAATTGGGAAACTCTTCTTAAGTGTGGGATGGTGACCCTGTAACAGGCCACCAGTGGCGATTCTGTTGAGGGGTCAGGGGGGACGACGTGCCCCCAATATTAAGAGCAGCGCTCCCCCATTGCCCCCACCCCCTCCATATTGAGAGGCAATTCCACTGGGTGGCGGCTTGAGGGATACGCAATCTCGAGGTAAAGATGAGTCATCATGGCCAAAGCCACTGATGCCATCGCTTCCTTCCTTCTGTTAGATACCACACCAAATACACATTTTCCCCCTGACCAACTTTATTGAGGGCGATATTGGCACGTAAAATAAAGATTGATTGACCTCCAAGATCGGCTCCCTATATGCGAATAGAGGGGCACCCACTGCCCCCCCACCACCCATATTAGATGCCCCCTGTTGGTGCCTCCCCAGATGAACGCGTCATAGACTCGCCACTGCACGCCACGGCAACACACGGGGAAGACGTGCCACGGGGGGCACCACACAGAGAGGGGGGTTCCAGAAAGTTACGCACGCCGAACACCACAGACCACAGAAAACAACATGAGGATAGTCACGGCGCGTGACTACGGTAACCGTGACTACAGCGCCACACAACAGTCCTGGGAGTGTCATAAAGATCTCCTTTGCATTTCCTGGATGATAAAACAAAACCTTTCCGGTCTTGTTTGTTCCATTTTAGTTGTTTATGAAATTTTAAATGTTGCATTTCATTCGCTAACGATCGTGGTTAGGCATTACAAAACATAAAAACTGTGTATCGTCTCCTTTGTTTATAGGTCGGATCCCAAAATGCCTAACGAGTCAAGAGGTTAGTGTTTAATGTTTCCTTCGTGTTCAGACTTACACTCAGCAGTCCGTCTCAACTGGACATCATTCCCGCACCTTGCTGCTCATCGCTGGGCACGATGGTTATCGCAAGCCCTGCCTCGCGCGCCCCTTGCCCCCGTGCAAGTGGAGGGGCCGGATCACGCTTTTCCACAATTCATTCCCGACCCCACTCAACCGGTCAACATACCGCGCACACCTAACAATTCCGCTCCTTATGAACCGTAAAGTTTCAATCGGATGTGATTTTCCCAGTGCACCTGGATGGGACAAGGCCTTGATTTGGGAGTGGCAAGGGTGCCCGCTCAGGGCGTTGAGTGGACCGTCCAGGATTTGAGGTCCATTTCGACTCTTGCTTGCACATTCCCCAATACTCTCAAAGCACAATCGCACTAAGCTATAAAACAAATAACAACCGTCATCTGCAACTCCCGCCGTCAATTCACGCCGCAGAAAAATATTGCAGTCGTTTGCGCGTTTATAATTCAGCTCACACTCTGAAATGAAAAGTAAAAAAAAAGTAAAACTGTTATGCCCCACCTAGTTAAAATCTAAAATGTGATTTAGCAGCAAATGAAGCTGACAAAAAGTACTACAGCAAAGATTGTCTTCACTCTCAACGCGTTCGCAAGTGCATTCTGTGTCGCCTTTTGCCTGGCACTACCGCTACACAAACCGTCCACAAGGCAGCCCAGCACCCATCGACCTCACTGCAGCCCTTAGGGAGTTCACGCTCAGTGGCACTATGGACCGAACGATGCGCACGGCTTACAGGAGGCCAACTGTGCTGCATTTTTATTTACTCGTGTCACCATCCACAGCCAACGCCTCGTGGAAACATGATCAACAATCCATTGCAGCTCATCATAGAGTTGGACAGGATTTGGGGCAATCTGGTTGTATGTACCGTGCATACAAACACACACAGTACATGTGTATATACACAATTCGAAATCTTGTTCTTGAGGCCAAGCTGTCTATCTGTAAATGGGTCCGTGAATGATATCCCACATGGAGGTGCGGCTCCTTCGGTTGACAAAGTTCAACGAGGTGGCCTGGCCAAGTTCTCGTCTTACAGCGCCCTCCTGCTAAACGGCACAAGGCTTGCCAATCTGCCCTCGCCGCCCGACGACTGCCCACTTGGCACGATGAATCGATGTGCACTGCTACCCATCGGTGAGCCCACCGCTAGCGGCCCCACGGGCCCTCAATGCGTTACGGTCAGAGAGTATAAAGTTATAGTGCATCAGTTTTAGAAACCGTAGATCAGGAAAGGCACATGGATCTTGTGAAACCGAGAAATGTTTGCCAATCCCCAAAATATGTTTGCAACTCAAACTTAAACATGTTTACACAGGTCGAACAATTTATGATAAATATATTTATAATATTTTTTTTTATCAGTATTGTAAAACAACAGTTTCTCAACTGTTTTTTCTTCCTACTCATTTAGTTTTGTCCACTTGTATACCAAGATTGTAAAAATTCCATGAACATGACAGAAGTCCAAGTTCATTGAAAGCATTACCCAGGGCCCTGCTTCCCAGAAAAGCCCCAGCAGCACAGCTTAGAGGGCTCACACCACGGCCCCGAAGCAAGATGAGCCACCCCAGTCTGCACCGACCTCCCAGGAGTAAACCTCAGGGCCGAGGGGGCTGGCGACCACCACCAAGACCCAGTGCCGAGTAAGGACCCAGGGCAACGTCCGCTCTCCTCCACGAGAGCGAGACAAACCGGGGCAGAGAGCGGCACGCGCTTTCACGAGCGCCAGTGCAGTCGGGGCCACCGCGGCGACGCCAAAACCTGAGAGGTTTTGGCTTCTGTGCATCAGAGGGCGGTTGCTCGTTCGCCCGTGAGCGCCGGGCATTCAAGGCGACCGCGTTGCTCACCGCGTCTTACGGCGCCGGCGCGGTTGGACCGGCAGAGGTACAGTAAGGCACGCGACGTGCATTGAGGTAGGAGTGTCCCTCCTAGTACCTGTGTACAAGAGACGGCGCGATGCAAACAAAGCAACTCGCCTGCACGTTTCCACTTCAACGAGCATTACCTGGGGTACTTTATAATAAAAAAGAAATATGCAGCTGTAAATACTGGTAAACCTACTGTGTTGTGTATTGTGCAAGTCTACGAAATGCTTCTAAGTGACTGCAAACGCATCGCTGTCAGCCCAGGCTTGGTGCAGTCGTGTTGTTGTTGTTGTTGTCATCATTGTTCATTTGGCTTTCGCTTATTTTGGCAGCAAACGCTGTGCAGAGCGTGCCAGACCCTCCTCCCCATTGTGCAAACAAATATGGCATCCTTCCTGAACATGAACAAAAGCAAAATACTTAAGCTAAATCCAAAACATTTGTCTTGTTCTTGGGCTGTCTCATCTTTTTTCTCCTCCCTCCTCCACATCACCTGCCTTCTCTTCTTCCTCCTCCTGCACCGCCAGATGCTCGTCAACCCCAACGCGGCATCCTAGACGTCCGTTTCACGCGACACCTTCAGGTCTGGCGACGAGTACTGCCGGCGCATGCGCGGCGGCGTGGCGTACGCGCCGTGGGGGACGAACGGCCTCGCGGGGCCCCCGTTGCGAGGGGGGTAGCGCGCCGTCACTGCCGCCGGGGACTCGTTGTCCGACAAGTAGCCACACTCATAGCGGGGGCGGGGCGCGTGCCAGGCCTGCGCGTGATGGTGCTGCTTCTGCTGGTGCTTGTACGGCGGCGGCGGCGGCGGCGGAGGGGGGAAGTGTGGGTTCGAAAAGTCGATGGTGAAATCCCCACTGTTCCAGGAGCGCCGGTGCTGCTGGTGCGAGCGGTTGCTGGTGCGGCCGGAGAAGGAGTTTCTACGCCACGGCACCTGGTTCGGGTGGTGATGCTGGTGCTGCGGTAAGTTCGGCTGGTGCGGCACCAAGTTCTGGTACGGGTTGAAGGGCCTCTCCAACTGGTTGTAACCGTAGCCCCCTCTCGGGTGGATGTGGCTCTGGTGGGGCTGGTGGTGCTGGTAGCCCCGGTGGTAGGGGCGCCAGGCCTGCTGGTGGAACTGCTGATGCCTCTGCTGGCCATGTGGCCGCTCCGCCGGCTGGTCCGCCGCATCGCCCTCCTCCTCCTTGGTGCCATCCTCAGTTTCTTTCTCGTCCTCATTCTCCTTCTCCGTTGTTTTGCCATAGCCTTTCTCTTCCATCCCCGCGGTCCACGACCGCCGTTGCTGGTGGCCGCTCCGGAACGGGAAGCGCAGCTTGTGGTTGTAGGGCGGAATGAAGCGGCCGTGCATCACGTAGTCCGGGGCGCCGCTCACGCTGCCGCTGCCGCTGCTGCTGCCGCTGCCACTGCCGGCGGTGGTCACCGGCCCGGTACTGCTCTGTCCCTGCTGCGCGCGCCGCAGTTTCTTCGCAATCTGCTGCTGCTGCAGGTTCTGCAGACGTTGCTGCTCCTGCTGCAGCCACCGCAGGCGGCCCCGTCTGAAGCCCGGATCCTCTTCCATGAGCTTCACGATCCTCTCCTCGCGGCTCAGGCTGTCCTCACCGTCCTTCCCGTCGCCGTCATTTCCCTTCTCGTCCTCGACGGCCCCTAGGATCAGCTTGGCAATTTTCATGAGCTCCCGCTCCACCTTCTGCACGCCGTCGTCGTCGTCTTGCGCGCCGTCGTCGTCACCCCGGTCGTTATCGTCGTCTTCATCCCCGACGTCCCCGTTCTCGGACGGGTCCAGGCCGGGCAGCACCTTCTCCATCTTGATCATGCGGTCCCTCAGCCGCCGGATCTCCTCGTCCTTCATGTTGTTCTGCTGCTTCACCTCCTGCAGGATGTCCGACAGCTTCGTGATGTGCACCTTCAGGTCGTCCACGTCGCCCGGTGGGCGCACCACGCCGCCATTACCGCCGCCGGGCACGGCCACGCCGCCCGTGCCGGGCTCGGGGTCCTCGATCTTGTCGTCGCTGACGCCGACGGTGTCCCAGACGTCGCGGGCGACGGCGCGCCACGTGTCCTTCTCGTTGGGGTCCTTCTTGCCGTACATCCGGCAGAGCTCCTTCATCTTGACGATGGCCATGGCCTCGATCTCCTGGCGCGTGTGCCGGAAGTCGTTGAGCGCCACCTCGTAGCAGATCTCCTTGACCGCCTGGATCTTGAGGTCGGACATGGTGACCCACTTGGGGTCCTTGGAGATGCGGCGCCGCTGCGGGATCTGGTAGACGCGGAGCGGTTCGCGCCGCTTGCCGCTGCTGGGGAGGCCGCACTTGCGCACGATGGTCTGCAGCTTGCTGGCCGGGAGCTTCTCGCGCAAGGACGTGATGAGGCGCCAGCTCTCCTCGCACGAGCGCTTGTCCGAGTCGTCGCCGCTGTCAGAGTCTCCGTCCTTGCGGCGCACGGAGTCGCGCGCGGGGCGTTATGTCCGTTGGGCATCACGTTTAAATCGTTTGGAGGGTTCGCAATTGTTTTTGTTTCCGTGTTTTTACGTCATAATAAATTATGTTTATAGGACGGTTTTTGTTTGGGAGAAGGCCATATGGTGGTAGAGGGGGATGAAATGGCCCACCACCGACACCACAACACACACACAAAAAGAAAATGAAAATTAAGTCAAAGAAATAACAAATTAAAAGAAACAAAAAAAACTATCACAAACAAAATCACACACGCACCAAACATAACTTGAGATTTTGAATAATAATAATAACAATGCCGTTATTGCCACAAAGGGTAAATTAAATGACTCAATAAAAACTTAAATGAGTGGTGGCCATATCCCAGAGCGATTTAAACGATCGGCAGGCTCAACGCAGGTGTGCGAGACGACCGTATGGGGCGTGAGTGAGATCGGCGGTGAGACTGTTAGAGAGACGGTGGAGAGGAGGAGAGGCAGCTGCCACAAGATGCGAGCGAAGATTGCAGCCAGCAACAGGAGGATTCGCCGCGGCAGTAACGTTCGTGACACTGGGCGGCAGCCACCACCCCCGCCCCCGCCAAGAGCAGGGCACAGCGCTGGCAGCGAAAACGTTAGTTTTGTTATTGTGCAGTGCGCGGCAGGAGACACGGAAGTGTGAGTGGGGAAACATTTATTATGAAAATTAAAACAAACAACCCAAGGCATGGCCGGGCTCAGGCCTGGCTGTGAGCCGAGTGAGCCGGCTCGGAGCAATGCTTAACTCGAGTCGGCTCTGAGCATGGTATGAGCCACGCTCAAGAATCCCCCGAGTTGAACCATGCCTGAGCAATTTTACTCAAGCATCTTGGGGAAGCAGCCGAGCGGTTTGAGTCCGAGCATTAAGAAGCTGAGCCAGAGCCGAGCCGCGAGTCAGAATGTGACCCTTAGTGCCCATCATTAATATACAACTTAATCGAAGCAAACAAGTGATAATCATGGCCGAGTGACAAAGAGTACATCATTTTTTCTTGCTTTTACAAATGAGCAGTATGACATGTTTCCATGGTTACATATGCTCTCATCGTTTAGAGATTTTATTTAAAGTGTGTTCAAAGGCAATGTTGCCTCTGCAGAAACGATTTTGAATGCACATATAGTTTACGCACAGTGTGCACAGTAATAAGATACTAATTTAACACGTTTTGTACGTCGTATCAAATGCTAAAACTGCTAAGTTTACTGGTATTCTTGCTATTAAGCTTGTTTATCCAGAAATTTCAAGACTTGTTTGAAGGTTGCTATGTGTAATCCCATTTAAGTAATTTGCAGGTACTTTTTCAGCATTGAGATGTTTGACCACTACCAGCTACACTGTATGATTTTAGCCATGGGATGAAACCAGAGAACGTAGAGGAAACCCATGCAGAGCAGGCAGTCGAACCCATGCAGAGCAGGCAGTCGAACCCATGCAGAGCAGGCAGTCGAACCCAAAATCGTCTTGCTTTATTTTAGCCAGTGATGCCGTTTCCACAGACAGTGTCAGCACCAGGGTCTTGGCGCAGTGTCGCCACGGCCCATTTGGGCAGTCTAGCAACCAAGTCGGCACATTTTCCACTGGCCGTGGAAACAAGACATCAGGCTGTCACCGGCTCATTCACTGCCAACATAATTGTCAAAATGAGTAAGAATCAAGCAGGGCAAGTGGAAGCGGACAGATTGTGAATGCCAAGTGCCTTGGTAGGCCGCGTGCTCATCGCAAATTGACAGCACCGCCGGCTAGCTTACAGACAACGCAAGCAATGAGACGCAAGCACCAAGAGCGTAACCAGTCCACGCACTCGCAGAGCAACACACCACGCAACTCAGACTTAGCAGGTTATGAAAGCAAGCACAAGATGGTCAGTGACATTCCGTTAAAATATGCGAGGGAGAAATTGTCTCAGCACACACGCGTCGCCTTCAATACAAATGTGCGGAAGCTTGTTGTGGTGGCTCAGGTTTTGCATCTTCATATATAAAATGTAAAACCTCAGTACTACTGTTGGTTTTAATTTAGCGTAATTCACACACTCACCCCGCTTATATAGCGCCTTGTAGAATACTCGTGCAAGTACTGTTACAGTGTTCCCATGAAGGCCAGAATAGCATACACATATAGGGTGGTGTGGCCGATATCACACCTGGCTGACTTTGCCGAGGGCTGATGTTCATACAACTGTACCAGGTACTCATTTAAAACAGTCAGATTCAGATACCACATGCCACTAATGGCATTCCATGGGCCGGAAATGAACCCAGGCACTTGGGATTGGAGCCCAGTGTGCCAAGCACTCCACCACTGCTCCCCATCTACACCCACACACACATATACACATCCAAACACGCGTGCATTGTACAAATAAAAAGATGGGCACTCACAAGTCTTTGCTGCTCCAAGAGAAGATCAGCCTCCTCCTTCTCCCGCTTGTACTGAAGCTCCATCTCCTGCAGCCTGGGTACAGCAGCGTGCAAAATAGCAAAGTGCCATTAGCGCTGGGACCTGCCCCGTGTCAGTGTGAAACGCTCTTAAACCACAGCAGCATTGGCCCTGACGCCTGCCCTGCAGTGGCTCTGTGTCGGGAACACGCGACACCGAGGTGGCAACGTTCGTGCAAGTGGCCCAACGGCTCAGTGCACCGGTGCGCTCTCTTTGGGCACTCGCGTCGAGGTTCACTTCCGGCAGCCACGAACAACAGCGATTTCCTGCACAAATGAGCATCGCAAGGCACTGGTTGTCGTTTGTCACCTACAGCCAAGCCACAAGTGGCAATTGTGCATCCCTATGGCAGGGGCAAGTCTCTCCATAGGACAACTGCTGCTGACTTGCCCGCAAATTAGCACTCACCGCTTCTCCATCTCCTGCTTCATGTCGATGCCCTGCTTCTCCAGGAGCTCGCGCTGGGCAAACGACCAATCGACGGGCTCACACGGCGTCTCGGCCGAAGGGGTGCGCTCCCTCTCGGCGCGTGCCTGCTCCGGGTGGTTGAAGCGGAACACGTGGCTCTTCCCCAAGATCAGCCGAGTTCCTGTAGCAGCAGCAACAACATTGTTGTTGTTATTACGCCGAGTTCACCCAGGAAAGCTTCACCGCTTCAAGACAATTGTCAACCCAATTGAGTATTTTGCAGGTAAATTTCAGGTATTGGAATGTTTAGCCAATACCAGTTACACTGTGTGGTTTTATTTTTATCTATGAGGGGAAACTAGAGAGGAAACAAACTCCACACAGAGGCACCCATGTCAGGAATTGAACCCTGAACCTTCTGACTTGAGGCATGAACATCACCACTGTGCCACCATGCTGCCCAAAGTGGGTTTAAAATTCAAAGATCATTCCTGAGTTCACCGAGGATGGAATGGTGGCACAAGGCTGCTATCCGGCACTTGACCGGCAAGGGTTGGTGGATCAGTCTCCTCTCGAGAGCGCTCGAGTGCAAACGTAACACGCAGTGTGTCACCTCTGTCATGGTTTGTTGATCCGCAATCAAGAACAAAAACAACCATTGCTTTATTTATAGATTCTTGGTTGAGAAATCTCAGGCTCACCCGAGCGCAGCACCATGGGCTCAGTGACATTCTTCCCATTGACGTACGTCTCCGCCCCCTCATACGGCTCCATCGTCACCACCACTGCAACGTGAGAACCACAACCATCATCACCATCAACTAGGCCACCACCATCATCGTCAACATCACCACGGCCACCACCATCATCGTCAACATCACCGCGGCCACCACCATCAACATCAATAATCACCACCACCATCATCATCATGATCAACATGACCGCCACCACCTTCAACACCATCTATATCACCGCCACCATCCTCAGCATCCCGTGCACACCACAGCGACCGCGAGTGATCGGAGCGGCTCACCTTCACCCGTGATCTTGGTCTCGCTGCGGAAGATGCAGTGCTCCTCGCGGATATTGGGCCCGCTCAGCACGATGTCCTGCCGGTTCTCGGCACTGTCGCGGCCCACCCTGCACACGTGCACAGCCCCGTGCGGGTACCCGCGTTATCGTGAATCTCGCGACTCCGGCACGAGATGCAGGAAATCGTGCGCGACATCACATTTGGTGCCGAGCGTGCAAGTGACATCGTTTTAGTAATGTAACTTCTGGGATCAGAAACAAAACTTTTTTGTTGATGCAAATTTGACCAGAGCATTACGTGGCCTAACCTGAAAGTCAACTATGAATGAGTTAAACTATGAACGAGTTATTTGCATGCACAGATACCATGATGGTTTCATTGCCATCTACAAAGATATGTCCATGGAGGAAATTAACCGATCGCTTTATTAACGATTATGCTAGTAGCGCTCTCAAACTCCACACTCACCTTGTGATCCCGTCTTTAATGTAGTACAGGAGGCACTCAGACATCAGCGGGTCCTCGTTAAGGTTGACAAGATGTGGGGTCTGCCGGGCGGGTGTTGGAGGAACAGGGCACGTGGCAGCGGCGGCGGCGTCAGTGTCAGAACGCGCAGCGTTGTCTGTCTCTACGCTCCTCAGCAGAGCCTGCGCCTCTTTACCAAGCGCCGCGGTCGCAGGGCTAGTTTACGATCCACACAAGGCCACCCCCATCCCTTTGGTCTATCGATTAGGGAGCTTTAACAACACACAGAGGTGCGCTGCTCACAAACAGCAGGAAGGCACAACTCCCATCGTGCGTGTCATGTGATCACGACATTGCATGTGCAATGCTCTCATCGTTAACAGAAAGTTTATGTATACTCTGCATAAACAATGTTTAAAACATTTATACATAGTTAACACAGGCACAACTGCCATCATGTATGTCAACTGATCACCGCATTGCATGTACAATTCTGTCAACCTTAACCAAACCACCAGCTCAAGAACTAAACTTGTGGTCGCATTGTTGTTAAGGCCACCGTCTGTTTCCGGCCTGCGCTCATTGTTCTGGAACGATAGGTTTCTAATCATTTACACACAGAGTTGGGTTTAAATAAGAGTCACGAGTGACATTCTGCAACTGACATGGCATTGACTCGCAGTGACACATGGGGCTCCTGGCATGCTATGCATTAATTTGCCACAAAGGAGGTTGTGTCTGGTTGGTTGTGCATGCCCAAGGGAACATCACCAGAGCACTGCACGGCACGCAAGTTAGAGATGACACTCAGACATATCGAGGAGAGGGGGCTCCGTGATGGGAGTGGGGAAGGCTTAAAGACATCTCTTGTGAAAGTGCCTTCCTCTCAAGAATTCAGGGCCCTGGTACGTGGCATTAGTTGGTTCGGGTCAGTTCGCCACTTTGCGTCGTCTACTCCGGGAAGCATTCAACAGTCGGCTGGGGAACAGGAGAGGTCAGACAACGACCCTGATTGATGACATTACAGTCCAAATAGTCCCCCTTTACCACACTCCCTTGATACAAGTCTTGCAGACAGTATTTTGCCATGTGTATCCATTTCATGCATATGTTCTGCATATACAATGAAGGATATAAAAATGGGGCCTTCATAATAGGGCTGCACCAGATTGAGATACAAATCAAATAACAACGGATGGGATTTTGAGCTCAATGATTCTCTCGAGAAGCGGGTTCCAAATTGTGGCCTTGGGCAGGTGCTGCTCACACGGAAAGGAGCCAGACTCCGTTGTATAACTCTGGCCGGACTCATGGCCCACTGCAGACCAAGTGCACCGTGAGCACATGCTCACCAACAGTGCGCTGCTGTCACTACCAGGGCCCCAAGGCAGGAAGGGAACACAGAGCTCAGCATTGGGGGTAAAGAATCTAGTTTGCAGATCTGGGGGAAAAAAGGACAGATTGATGCTCACAAAGGGTTAAGCAAGAAGGACATTTTAAAAGTAAAACTTCAGCACACTAACAAAAATCGCTTGAGCAACCAACCTTTTTAGGGGAAAATACCCCAACGGGGTCCGTAAACAGCTTGCACGGTCTCCCAGTGAAAAGCTGTCACAGGTAGTTTGGTTTGTTTGGCACATGGATTTGCAAGCATTTTCAGCATTAGGAGGGTTACAAGAGAACATTGGGATGAAATGAAAAATGAAATGTGAGATTAGTGAAAAGTTAATTGACAGAAAGCACACAACTGCGCAACACAAACATTGAAGCACGGTGCATCGCAACGCCGCTGCAGGCTTTTGTTAACACAAGCGGTATTCTCTCCTGCCACGTGGCACACTGCCACAAAACAAACGTCTCCAGCAACTAATAATGTCGAAGCAAAACAGTACCAATTGAAACTCACTCACACAAATGTGCAAAGTCAACCAATGAAAGCAGCAGCACCAAAAGCAATGCCGCAGAAGGCAACATAACGGTAGCCCCGTGACCATGGAACTTGGCGCAGAACGAAGGAATCACCTTCTTGGGAGAGAAGACTCCGAGCGTGCCACCGTCCTCGCGGATAGCCACCCCCATCTCCGCCAGCAGGGCCTCTCTGGAGCCGCAAACCGAAGTTGAAACAATCGCACAACACCAACCACGACAACGACATTACATTTACATAGTCCCCTGGACGTGCATCCCCCGCTTGTTATAGAATTTCGTCGTTCGAATCTAGCAGGCCGTCCTGGTTATGACTGCGTTGCATATTAACCATACAATTTTACATGCCGTTTGCTTCACAGAGGACTTTAAAGGTCCCATGATGTCATTTGAACTAAGTAAGCGATTGCATGTCAGCGTCATAATCCAAATTTGCCTAATTTTTTTAAATTACCTGCAGATTATTCAATTTTGATAACAAAAAGCAACATCGCCCCCGACTGTAACTACCACAGACACCCTTGCACGATAAGAATGGGGAAAATACCAAATGAACTTAATTGTAATGACATATCTGTCAACCCAATATGATTTACCCGTATTCTTGTATTGGGAAATTGAGTTTTCAGGTCCATACGGCGTACAGCTGTTTCAATACGGGCAAAAAAAAATGTTGTCTATTTTTTTGTATTTCTCCCTTGTGATGTGACTTTGTAGGATGAACGTTGAGATTTATAAAGGCGCAGGGTGACCAATAAGATCTGAATTGGTCTGTAATAATGTAGGGCACTGATAAGGGGTTACCAGGTATGTGATGATTACATTGCCTTTCAGGATCAGGACAGTGCACACACAAGTCTACTTCATGGTAGCCTTGTCACTGGGAAACAGGAGTCCTAACACGCAGGGGAGCAGCGAAGAGCACGCACCTCTCGCTCTTGATCGCCTCCGTCCGTTTTAGTTTCTCTTCCCAAGTCACGTTCAGCTCAGCGATTATCTTCTCCGTTTCCTGTGAAGGACAAAACGAGCCGGTGAGAAAAAAAAAAGTGTAAAACGGCTCCATCAGAGCTCAGCAACCAAACGCATCTCCTGTAGTGGCAGTGAAGGTGGAGCCACAGACCGAGTTGAGGTGTAGGAGGTGGTGTGATGCTCCATACACGATGAATCCCCTGCCGATAAGAAGACGACACCTGTCCAGGTGTGGCTACAGTGAGAGAATTTAGCTCAAATCAACCTCTCAAGACAAATCAAGCGATAAATGCCTTGTGGAAGTCAACATCGGTCGTCCTATTGAGGAGCCGACGTTCACCATGGTAATGTGGAATTCCACTGGCTCATGGAGACAAGGGGCACCGCTCGTCGCTCAAATGGGCGGAGAGACAATGTGACCGGAACTCGAACGCGGGGACGCTTCCGTCAAACCAAAACGACACACCAGCCTATAGCTCTTCCGTGGCGCCGCAAACTGGCGATCCGGCCACGCCACCACCATCTCCCGAACGGCGGAGGCCGCGTACGCCGCGTACGCCGCGTACGCGCTCACCTTTAGCCTCTCGATGGCCTCCTCGCTGCCCGGCGCCGACATGATGCGCTCCTGCAGGGTGGCGGCCGTCACCGCGGCGGCGTTGGCGATGTTGATGAGGCCGGGCCCGCCGATGCCCAACTGCCCGCACAGCATGAGCGGGGAATTGGTGGAGGCGGCCAAGGAGGCGAGGGCAGTCGTGGCTGGGGAGAGAGCATCAGGGCGGTCACTGTCGGTGGCGCTAGCGTCGCCCGCGTCGCCCGCCACCTGCCCCTCGGTGTTATTGTTCTCAACGTCTTTCATGTCTGCCTCGGTCCGGGTTGGGGGGGGTGGAGACGGGATGAGGGAGGGCGGAGAAAAGGAAAAAATGGGAGGGGAGGAAAAAAGGAAGGGAGAAGAAAAAAAAGTATGTGAGAAAGGAGTTTGTAAAAATATGATTTTAACTGCAGATTAAATAAAAGCAATAAAAATTTTAAAATGTGGGTTGAGTACATTGGCATTACTTTCACACGGTGAGTTAATGCGAGTCTAAGGGATTGTCACATTAATCAACAATGACTACTAGCACACAGGAAGTCAGCTTGTGGATTTGGATAGCCTATAGAAGTTCTTATTATAATTCGTGATAACCAGATGGGGTTTTTGCTCTTTAAGCGTATCCAAAGTTACATCAGCTGCGTGTTTTATGGCAAAAATAAAACAAAGAGCCAGGAGTTAAGGGGAAGCAGTTGGGCAAACATGAAAGGCAAACAATAACGTGGCGGCATAACACCCCGCGCGAGAGCTTATCCACCATGAGTGCGATTTCAAGCAACATTTACTGCAACATTAGCGCCAGTTCAACAACAACACGAGCTGATGGCCGTGCACAGGGAGCAAACCTTGAACCGGAACAGGGCGAGAAGGGTGTAGGGACAGCAGGCGGTAGTGGGGGGGGGGGTCAAAGCAGGCCACACGCACGTGTGTCACAAACTCGGGCCTGGGTCAGGTGCTCTCCAATCAAACCACCACGATCCGACACGCCGCAGCTCTCCGCGTCCGGGCCACACGCCTGATCCTGATGCCCAGCGGGCGTACGGGATGTGCTAGGCTTGGCGGGCGCGAGGAGCCATGCGTGGACCGGGTCTGCGAGGGCCTGTGTTGGCAAAGCGCCGAACTAGGCCGTGAGGCGGTGTGCACGAGGCAACGGGGAAGCGGGTTTTGGGGGAAGCCGACGATACACACATTTGGGTCCGCTTCCGATGTACGCGCACTCGGGGTCAACTGAGGGGCGGCATGAGACGGAGAGGACAGAGAGGGCACGGTCAGAAAGTCAAGGCAACAACCGCACACCACCACGCCACCTGCACACCACCCGGCACACGACTAACCACCAACACACCACCGCACGACTCAGCGCACCACAGCATCACAAGCTGCATCAACCGACAACCCACACCTCCGCCCAACCAAACAAATGATCTGCACACGACCACCACACCCACAAAGCTGGAAGGCAGCCCTAAATAAAGTACATTTGTGAGAGACTCCTGCTGTTCACACCATGCAGGTGAAAATAATGACAGTGCAGCAATAAGTTAGTTGCATTGGGGGTGGTCACAATAAACCCCCACCCCTCTCTAACAAAGGGGAAAGACAAAGCAAAGCAGAGCTTCTGAAAGCTCTGGTCTTCACGGACTAGCGCGGTCCAACTTTAGTTACAGCCAGTCCTCCTTTCACACAAATATGCCACATGCAGTGCTTGCAAACGCAGATGGGTGAGTGGGTGTGGATGCTTGACCGGAATGGAATCCAACGAATGGAGTTTGCGAACTGTTACGGTATACAACAGCTGAAGAGATAAACAGAACAGATTCACAATCGATTAAGGCCGGTTTACGACCGCAAGCTGGCTCTGTACATGTGCACCACATTTACATTAGAAAAGTAATAAACACAATTTATAATGTGCGCATATTTCGTGAATCGGAAGCAATGTTCGATCGAGAACTACAATAAAACTCAGCGCAATGCGTCGCCTCAACCTCAGTGCAATTAATGATTTTCTAAAATTGTTCTTATTCCTCAAATTATTACCATGTTGCGACACGCACGGTGAAGGGGGGGTGGGGGATAAATGACGGTGCAGAGCAGACGCCAGACACGGCGCCGCGTGCGATATTATATCTCATGCCATTGCACACACAAGTGCCAAGGAGACTAACTGAAATATGCCAACCCCCCCTCCCGGCCACCCGCCCCCCCCGGCTCTCACATCATCATCATCTTCTGCTTTTATTGTTGGGTAAATAAAGAGGGTCCACGTTGGGTCACTGCACCACGCCTATCATTATGGGATAGCCACGAGGCCCAGCGGAGGGCGTTCACCACCCGTGGCAAAGCTTTGCGGTTCGCATCTGGCAGGTCACCTTGGTTAATTCTGCGGCGTATATATATTTTTCATGATCGTCTGGTTTCTGGTGGAACCGCTCACCATGTGGAAGCATACGTGAGGCACTGCCCATCTGGCTAACGTGAAAAGTATGACTCTTTAATCGTTTCTTATATTTTGCAAATATGAAACGGAATGATCATAAAAAAATAGGCCAGACAATACTTTACCAGCATCTTCATTATAAACAACAATCTTACATTTGAGAAATATAAAGTGAATATTCTGGACCAAGGACCTCCCTCCTTCTGAGCTGGCAAGGCATAGTAGCAATGGAGGAAAAGAGAAAGAGTCTCCAACATTTCAGGTGGCGCTCATCTCCAATGGCAGACGAGAGCCAATAGTGGAAAGTCCACATTTCTATGGCGGGGCTAGTCTCTCCACGGAAGACAGCAGTAAAGAATTTTCAAGCCGGTTCCATCGGCACCGTCACTGGGGTTTTAACGAGCGAGTGTTGGCACGTTGCGGAACGCAGGCGAGAAGCCACTCACGGTCGACGATGTCGCCTAGGCCCTGGGACAGCAGCAGCTCCTTGAGCCGTGCCACCTCCTCCTTGAGCTCGCGGATGAGTCGCGCGTTTGGATCCTCGTTGATCACCGCGTTGCACTTGATCTGCTTGGCTCGGTCTGCGTACCTGCACACACGCAACGGTGCCGGCGCTCACCGTCACCTCCGCTCCGTTCCAACTTTCCCATTAGAGAAGCCTCAGTGGGGAATGTCGATGGGAAGAGGAGTGGTGTGTGGTGTTGTTGTTTTTATGCAATTTCTGAGCACAGGCCCAAAGGCCCAATGTGATGAGTGGCCAAAAAACATCAAGGATGGTGTGACAGGGTAGGGCAGCAGTGGGTTTAGAAGTTCAGCAGACCAACTCACTCAACGTCACTCTCCTTAAGGGAAAGCAAGAATGTGGACTCGAAACAAAAAACGTTTAATTGAGCAAAACTAACGGGGTTACATGGACAAACGCTGCATTACTCTTCGGTGTTGTTTCATTGATGAAAATTAAATCTTACATTCAAGATACATGTATAGATTTCTGTATGTAAAAAACTATTTGTTACAATTCTTCTTCATTGCATTTGACTAGGGTCGTGAACACCTGTGGTCACTAAAGATTCTGTAATTACAACGGACGTTGAGCAAATCTCAATTGTATCCAACTGTGACTGCACGTGAATCAAATCATGGCCCCAAACTGTCATCATAGACGAGTGGTCAAATGCTACTCGCTAGTTTCTCAAAGGAGACGCCACCTCCTCCTTCAGAGCCACAGACGCCCTCGTAAAAATGTCTACGCAAGTGGAGCCAGATAAGGTCTGGCACGAACTCCTGACCGCTCCCATCGACTCGTGACCGCTCGGTGCATGGAAGCGGTGCCGGCATGGGGGGAGCAGCAAGCTACCCAACCCAGTACTCCGCGTCCGGCTCGGGGCAGCCTCCCCCACTGCCTCTAGACCGGGCGATGGGACGCATTTGGTGGCACGAAGGGAGGGAGGAGGGGGCGCAGCTGGGCCGCGCTGCCGCTACCTCAGCGTGCTGAGCGTCTCGTCGTAGTTGATGTCGGCCGGGCTGAGCGCTGCCACCATGGCCGTGCGGGAATTCCCTCCTGCACAAAGGAACAATTGAGCAAAACAAATTTTTTTATCATAAATTTATTTGCGAACGCGTCTCATTCTCGGGGTTTAATGTACAGCCAGGAAGTCAGCTACAGATTGTTATTGATATTGTCGTTCAGCTTCTTTACCCAGGAAAGCCTCACTGAGTGTCAATAAACTTTATCAGGTCGGTGCTGCCATGTGGTTGCAGTAGAGAGTGATGTTCCTGCTTTGTGTGATCCCAATTGAGTAATTTGAAGGTATTTTTTTGCATTGGGATGTTTGGCCAATACCATTAAAATGATACGGTATTGTAGCTGTACCGGACAGGGGGAAAACATGAATGCCAGACAAAAAGGGCACCCGAGAAAGGAATCAAATCCAGACCCTTCTTGTTGTGGGGCACAAGTGTCAACTCTGCACCACCACCCTACCGCCCGAGGCAATGAAACGTGCTTGTGGTAACGGTGTGGCGAGAAGAAGCGTCTTACGAACGCGCCCCACTCACCCAGGTTCTCTCTCAAAAGCCAGGTGAGCACTGAGTCCCGGTAAGGGATGAAGTCCATCTTTTTCTTTTTCTTGCTTTGCTGTGGAAAAATAAACATCGGCGAAGATAAAGCAACACGAGCAGCAAAGCAACACCATGTAAGACAGGACATCATCATGTGACCACCTCAAACGTACGACCGCGGCATCAGCATGCGTTCCTCCAATCGGCAGCATTCTTCAGAGAAGAACTCCATACGTGTTTATCTTTTAAAATAACGTGGATTATCTTGTCTACTTGAATTTATTGCTAATTTTAAGATGTTGCGTGCCTCAGTTTCTCTCTGAGCCTCAGCCACTTCCTATGAACCCTGAGAATGCCAAGCATTAAAAAAAAGTTCAAGCAAGCGTTTCCAGATTAAGTCAAGGTGCGGAATGCAATAACTGTGTCAAAATAAGTATATTTGCTTACGCAAAAATGATCACTGCAGTTGGTTGGTACAAAATCTCATCGCCATCAGAATATTAATGTGACCAGTGGGGTCAACGTAGTGGTGCTCCGTACTCGCGCTTCTCAGAAGGGGCCCCTATCCCTACTCTGCGGTGTCTCCGTGAGCGGCTGGACGCAAGATATTCATACGGGGACTTCTACATTTACATTTCGATCGCTGACCGTAAAAAGATAAACAAACAGGACAGGTCTGCGGACCGGCAGGCAGGGCTTTGTGGTACCTTGATTGGTCCAGAATCCTAAGCGAGGGAGGCCGTGTGTGAAGCAAGCAAAAACACAAGAGCCAGTTACTCAGTTCATCAATTCATATGTGCGGTGACAGCAAGAGCAGCCTCCAAACACCACCCAGGCACCAACATTAAAAACGTCATCGCACAAATGTCATTGTAATTCGTACAAAAAAACCCAGCACACAATAACAAGGTAAAAAAAGACATGGATGGTTCTGTTGAGAGAGGAGTAAGATGGGTGGTATTGTGTTAGAGCAGTGGTTCGGACCCCGTAGGGCATGCTCCCCGATAGTCTTTAGGCTGCTGCATGGATAGAAAAAATATGCATGTGTGTGTTGAAGGTGAGCACCTTGTTTGACAAAAATATGAAAACACAACTTGGAACACAGGCCTTACCAACACAAAACACACTAATACACAACACTAGAGGTGTGGACATGTGATCTCCCTGTGTAATGTGGCTAAGTTGTGTTTATTGGGCGAGTGGAGAAGGGGGGGGGGATGGCACATCAGTCGTCTTGATTGGGGGGGCTACCATTGAAAAAAGTTTTCAAACCGCTGTCTTAAGAGAAAATCCCACTTGGGATCCTTTCAGCTTGTCATCCATTGCATGATTGATAAAAAGATTACCACTTTAGGGGAAGTGAGCAATGGTTGTCTATAGGAACACTGGAAACTATCCACCACAGCCATTTGGAATTTCTACCACGGACCCACAGGCACCATTAGAGATGGATGAGTGCTGCCCCAGTGCTGCTTGTATCAGAATAATATTCATTATTATTGTGATGATGCACGATCACACAAGTCTTCCGAGTAGGGGGCGGTGTTGTTGTATGTAACCCTCGATCGAGGAATTTGCGGTGTCATTTTTCAAATTTGGACCGAATCGCCAGCACACAATGGCTGACTCGTTTCAAATGACGTCGGGGGATTGTTACGGTCCGCTGTGAAGCAGAGGGCGCGTTTTTGTTTGAAGATGCCCGCAGCATTTTCCAGAAAAGGCGGTAGCAACATCGGTGGCAACAACGCACAAAACCTGAGCCTGGCAAACGCAGCCTGATCGGCATCAAAGAAGCTCCTCGCTCACCACTTCGGCCAGGGCGGAGATCACCTTGCCCAGCGTGGTGAGAGACTTGTTAATGTTAGCGCCTTCCTGTGTGCGGCAAGGCATTGGACGGGTGAGCAGAAACACGAGACGACCACGAACACTTGCACTTCGGGCTTGCTGATTATTATTTATTATTATTACTACAAGACATTTTTACCCAGAAAACTCTTAGAAAATCTCAGGACTCTTTTTCAGGAGGGTCCTGTCAAGTTTGCACAGGAGGGGACCATGTTGCTGCTGTGTGTAATGCCATCTAAGGTCATCTGTCAGCAGTGGGATGTTTGGCCAATACGAGTTACATTGTATGTATAAGTTTAGCTCTGGGAGAAAACCGTGAAGCCCAAAGGCAACCCAGGCAGAACCGGGGCAGAACATACAAACCCCACAAAGAAAGGCACCCCAGTAGGAAATCGTACCCAGGGCCTCCTTGCTGTGAGGCACGAGTGTTACCACTCTGCTGCCACCGCCACCACCCTGCCTAAGATGAGCACTGTAGAAGGTTGAGCTCCCCGGCAGGCGGTGCAGGAGGTGCCGTGTGCCGAGAGGGGCAGGACCACGCAGGGGCGCGGGTCTCTCTCACCTTGAGCCGAGTGCCCTTGGCTCCCGTGGAGTCGGCCCGCTCACTCCCGGCCAGGTCCACCAGGCTGATCTTGCTGACCTGCACACATGAGACAAAATCATCGCTCGCGGCGCCGTGGAGAACAGAAGCCACGAAATAAAACACGCGCACAACAATCAAATATGCACAGACACATAAGAGCACATGCCTATAAAAACCAAGACGTGCACGTGTACGTATACGTGCACATGCAAATTGACACACACACATACACTCAAGTAAACTTATAAGCAAACGAACGCAAATGTAGATGCTCACGCAAATGTGCGTGTGTGTTCCCGTGTGCACCTGGCCTGGCACAGGCGCCATGGTCCCGTCACTTAGTGGTGATCGGCAGTTGTGTTGGCTGTGTGCTCCCTGTGTGCTCGTTAACAGGCGTTCACTCGGAACACTTGTCCCACCAATTTGTTAAAAGTGATGCACGGAAGGATCTTTGTCTCTGGAGCCATGCGTGGGTGCAACCGCTCATGGGTGCAGCCTTGCGTGGACTCTCACCTTCTCGGTGCACAGGTCGGTCTCCACGTCGTGCCGCTTCTGCGTGAAGATGATGGTGAAGACGGCGTGCGAACGGCTGCTGGTCTCGTTCATGTTGGTGGCGGCGACAGTTCTGCAGGGGAGGCAGACGCCACGTTCAGTCCCCGCCCCCCTCGTCGAACCCAGCCTTCCCACCCGGCACGTAACACGCCATTCATTAATTCATGTCTGTCATTGCAGATTAATTCGGCATGGATAGTCACACAAACGCAAATCGTTTAAGTGATGACCTTTAAACGCCTTTAATTAATTCTGCTCGCGTTATTTCATTATTTAATCTGGTTCGTCTTGTGATGTTGTTCTGCAGAGGGATTGTGTAGAAGCTGCCCCTACATACCCTCGATGATACCACGTGCACGGAGATACAAACACGCGTGACCTGCACCTAACATGGATGCCATGCCGCCCTCTCCTCTGGCCACATCGACTCAAGCCTGGGCCTGGGCCAAGGGATGCGGGCCATAGTCACCCCCGTGCCCGTGCATGCCCGACCTGGCCTTGTTGCCGGAGTCCATGAGGTCAGCAATGTCCGTGTAGGAGGTGACGGCCAGCTTTGACAGGTCCTCCACATAGGGCCCGAGCAGCGGGTGTTCCCGCACGCGCAGGTTGCCCTTGTTCTTGGGGTTGAGCAGGTCGCGCACGCGCTCGCAATAGATCTCCATGTAGCTCACCTGCGGGCGGCAGCGCGGCACCGTCACATGCGGCGGTGGCCCCTCCCGCCCACCCACCCGTTGCCTTCTCCTGAGATGGCACCACCGTCGCGAACTCAGCGTCACCGTAAACAGTGAGTGCGGCCCATTGCCTGAACGTACGCATGCATCTGAACAGTCGTCCGTCGGTTGCTTGTGGCCTAAGCTAAGCAAGCGAGACGGATTGTCGCATCGAGATTGGTGATGGGCATGGCATTCCGAGAGCCTTCATCCAGCAGTGGATAGATCAGGGCTGGGGATAATGATACAGTCAATGCCTAGGGACACTGCACGTGTTGTCACAAAATATTGAGAAACGAGGAGAATGTTTTGACAGTCAATTAAATTGTCATTTTGGAAAATTAAAAGAAAGTGCACCTAGCATGGCTCAAGTGCCACTGAGTGGTGAATGGCAGTTGTTGTTGTTGTGAGCTCCATTTGGCTTTCCAAGCTTCATCAGAGTTGAAGTTGCGCTGTTGAGGGTTACGTGCATGGGTCAAAAAGGGCTGGCGTGACTTGAAATCCTTTAAATTTGTGACTAGCCTAAAACCCTCATCCACCAAATGTACTCAATTATGTATTAATATTATTAGAAACAAAATCAGCAGTCCAATGTTTTTAAATGCCAAAACAGCTTTCCATGACTGTCATCATGAGACAATAAAAATGTGATGCCATATAGATTTATTGATTGCACACTGAAACATTAATATGACTGAATATGTGAATTTGTTTGTGTTGACAAGGGAGCTTACAACCAAGTTGAGATCTCAGAGCCGTACGCATCGCACCAAGGCTGAGTAACAACCTGTAACGATTCACGCCACCTGTCCACGTCCGCCCTGTGGTTTAATTGTCGCGATTCGGGGGTCACAAATGTTTGTTTACCCAGGAACAGCTTCATTAAGTCTCAAGACTCCTTTTCAGGAGGGTCCTGGTAAAAAAAATTAAAAGGCGGGTCATAATTACTATGCGTTTCCCAATGAAGTAATTTGTAACTTTTCCAATTTGGTCAATTTAGGCCACAACGCTGGCACGCAATGGCCTATTCTTCTTTGAAAGACGTCACGGGATCTTTAACGTCCACCGTGAAGCGGACTGCACGTAATATTTTATGGTTACTACAACACCACAGTATTAGCCAGAGTGGCCTGCCGATTTCATACTACAATCTGCTGCGACAAGCAGGAACGAGCTACCGCTGGCCCATACCGCACTTCGAATCACGCAATATCTCGTTGATGCCGTCTTGTTTATAGTTGCCGTCAAATTGTTCTGCCTTGATTGTTCTGTCTAGTTCACTGCATAACCCTAAAGGCACATTTGCATACCATTAAATTAATTGGTAAATCATCGATTTTCAAATATAATGGATACCTGTATCACGAGTGCAAAAGTCCACTTTAGTCGATGCTTGAGCCCGCCCAGTGTTTACGAGCTCAGTGCTCGCGTTTCATTTCACATCCTCTTAGGTTTTTTCGGTAAAGTCACGTAGGTAAAAAATTAAAATTAATAAAAATAAAATAAAAATCACGACGTTTCGGAGGCAACAAAAGCTTCTGCCTTCACGATTGCTGTAATCGTGCTGTGGCGGTTCCACCTGAAGACGGAAGCTTGTGTTGCCTCCGAAACATCGTGATTTTTATTTTATTTTTATTAATTTCAATTATAATTTTTTACCTACCTGACTTTACCGAAAAAACCTAAGAGTATGAATCCTTGCAGTCACGAAAGCTTCAAATCTAGAATCATTTCACATCGTTTTGTCAGCATTCATTGAAATCCCTCTATTGTTTTTTCCCAACGAATGGAAATATAAAAAAACAGCGTCGTGCCACTCAGCCGAAAGAAACACCAAATTAATGACATATAAGGCTGGCAGGGTGGTGCAGTAGCAACACTCTTGCCTCACGGTAAAAAGTGCCTGGGTTCGATTTTCAACATGGGTGCCTTTTCGCTTTTGAGTCTGTATGTTCTCCCAGTGTTCTGTACGAGTTTCCTCTGGTTTTCTCCCATAACTAAAATCATACAATGCAACAGGTATTGCCCAAAACCTCCCAAGACTGAAAAAAATACCTGAAAATTCCTCAATTGGGATTACAAACAGAAAATTAATCCTCAACTGCAAAAACTTGGCAGGACTCTGCTAAAAATTAGTCTTGCGACTCGGTCAGGTTTTCCTGGATAAAAAAGTAAAAATAAACAGAAAGGAGAAGCACTTCACGTAAGTAACGATCTAACTCTTGACGTCTCGTGCGTCTGGTATGCGGGACTCAGTGTTTATTGCTTCACGCTATCGTTCCTGCGACCTCACGAGGCAAAGATGCGGTTGGCCTGCGGGTGAATCCCAGCTGTCAGCTGCAGCTCAGAGCAATGAGCTAATCTGGCAGCTATGAGCCTCACCTGCACAGGTGCGACTGCTGAGCGCGGCATGGTGGGATGGGTGGCACAAGGGGTAGGGGTGGGGGTAGGGGGGGGGCGCTGTGCTCACCTCCACAGAGTAGGCCATGTCCGTGTTCCCATTGTCGTTAATGCGGAGGAAGAGGTCTTCACAGAGCTGCACACGAGAGACAATGCAGCGTGGTGGCGCAGTGGTGGCACTCGTGCCTCACAACAAGAAGGATCTGGGTTCAATTCCCGACTCGGGCGCATTTTTATGTGGACTTTGTATGTTCTCCTGTTTTATGCAGAGTGTGAGTATGCGAGTATTTGAGCATATGAATGTGTTTAGTGAATGTGTGAATGGGCGTGGCACTGGCCACCCATCACCTCGTGTGCCGTGCTGGCTTTCATAGGCGCTGCGACAACCTGCTAACAGCACTTGCCTCGGCACCCTGTTAGGGACTACTCAGGGGAGCTTTGCCTTTGTATTTGTATGGAGTTTGTATTCTCTCCCCCAGTTATGTATGGGTTTCCTCAGAATTCTCTGGTTTCCTCCCATAACCAAACATTTTATTTGTTAGGTGGCATAGGCATCTTAAAATACACAAATTTGGTCAGATCTTTACGCGGTCCAACGCAAAAAATAATTTACGGACGATAATATCGGCTGTGAAACTGTTCGTGTTAAGGCCGCATTCAGTGTAATCACTAGGCCGTTAACCCTGCCGTTGCGTTGACGAAGGGCAAGTGTCACAGCTTGCAGCGAGGCCTCACCTGCGGGATGATGCCCTCCTGCCCCTTCTCCTGCTTGCCCATCATGGTGTAGGACTTCCCGGCGCCCGTCTGCCCATATGCGAAGATGCACACATTGTACCCCTCGAAGGCATGCTCCAACATCTCCTCCCCGATGTCATTGTACACCTGCTCCTGCGACGCGAAGTGCGAGTCGTCCGGCTGCGTAGAGAGAGCCCGGCGTGCATCACACGTGGAGAGGGAACGGCACGGCAAACAACACAATCATCATCACAGTAACAGCAGCGATTTGCATTTGATGCAGCCGCCCCCCTTTACACTGCTGCGTCGCATGCGAGAAGCAACTTGCATCCCATCTTACTTAACATTTGAAAGGGCACCCCCAGTGGCAGCAACATTGCTCCCCTACTGCCAGATTATATAGGCCTGTGAACCGTAGCGCCTTCGCGACAGCACTGCGCCATTTTAACCGCGCAAATACCACATTGTGATTATGATGAGAAGAGGCATGCGGAGGAACACACCGTGGTGTGAGACCAGTACGAGTAGTCGAAGCTGAAAGTCTTTGGTGGCTCTTTGGGCTGCTTGGGATTGAGAATGGCTGTAAACGAGACAAAACAAAACAACATTTAACACAACAGCGACGTCATTCCCATCATCATCATCATCTCCACATGCTGACATCGCCAACTCGTCGAGCAACCATTATTTTACGTCTGAGCAGAATAAACAAACAACCAAAGTCGTCTTCCCCGTACGTTGTTTGTGTTAAAGGGTGTTTTTGTAAATCCACTTCAAGAAATTCCGAAAATGCACAGCAATTCCACCCCCTATCTTGCCTCACAGCAGTCCCTGCTGAGCTAATTGCACATCGCGGAACGCATTAATAACCCAGCAATTTTGTTCGGCTTTCACAGCCACATATAAAAAAAGTGCTGCGCATACACTATTATTCACACTGATTCCCTGATATGAGCAAACCCGTAAGTAAACACGCCTTGCAGGAAGGATGTGTACACAAACACAAAGATTAGTTTTGATCAGGTGTCACATCCACTGCTATTACAGTTGGAAACATATCCCAGGGCCTTTACGTGGCACACAACAGATGGCATTGAGCAACGAGCACACGCCCCACAGCTGCCCCTCATACTGTAAGCGCCGCTATTTACTTTGGGTAAACATGGCCTTAACGTGGCAGCAAGACCTCATTTTGACAAGACCGTTTGATGTTTGTTCCTCATCTCTAATTTTCACACCAAACGCACTCGCTCACGAAGCCACGCACGGAGCCGCGCTGCCAGAACGCTGCGTGCATCCACCAAAGCCAATCGAGTTGAGAGGCGTTCAGAAGCTCTCTGCACCACCGAATGGCTACGGGGCCCATCGGAAGAATTGCGGTGGTGCAGGTGGCTTCGATTAAATGCTGGGGAAATCTCGATACGTTCACTTCCAAACCAGCGCAGTGACAATGCCAGAATCTCGCATCAATAACCATCAAGCTGGCCACGTAACATACATGCTGATCAAATCACTAAACAGACAATACACATCCTTCACATATCCGTGCCACCCCATTAATACAAAAGCGCTTTTTTGCACATCTCAGCAGCCGCACGGCCTTCTGGAAGTGCATAATTTAAGCGGAGCTGGTTCAACGCGCGCAAACTGTCCCGGTCTGGACATTCCGTGTGTAATCGGCAGTCAGGCTTGCTTGAACCAATGCTGGTGAACTGCTAGATGTTTACAGGCAAGGCAATATACAAGATGATCGGTTTGTAGGCACAGGAATACCACAAACACCTTGACCTCTGCAGCGCACGGTTCAGCAGAAAGTTCTCAATAGTGATGCGAACCATCATAGATGGTTCGCATTTTTTTTGTGAGGAGTTGCGTGGCAATGACATATGAGAATTCAACGAATTTAAAGCAAATAAAAAGTATGTTAAATTGTTTGACCCAGGAGACGTAAATTTAGAATCCATTTATATCAGCCATTCCCAACATTCACAGAAGCCAGGGCAACACCAGCAACACATTCTGGTGCTGCAATTTTATTTTTACAATCCAAACGGGGTCATAAATATTGGAAAAGCCATCATGTCATCAAGAAGGTCAAGCGCTCGGCGTCCCATAGTTGTCACGGAGCACAAAGGAGAAGCCTCGACGAACGTCCCTGCTCGGGTGCACGAGGCACGCCACGCGCAGCGCGCATTAAACACGGCGTGCTCCAGCTGGGAGCCACCAGCAGGACCCTGTCACGGCAGCCTGCGCTTTGCAGCGTTGACGTGACGACGCCGATTGACTCGCTTCCTGTGCACATCAATTGTTGAAATTCCTCCACCCATGTTGAGGACTTGCTCTACCAGCCACTGTCTCGTCTCATCTGGACTGTGTTCGACCACCACACTGCAGGTCACAATAACAAATTCGCCACTTACCCACTCACTCAGTCACCTAATTGCACTTCACAACACTTCTCTTTCTGCTTCTTCTCTCGCACTGCTCCTCTTTGGAATTCCCTCCCAACACCTCTTTCCCAAGTTTTGACAAGAATAACCTCGCTCAATTCAAGGAACATGTTCACTCTTATCTATGACAACTCTTACGGTACTGTTTGTTGCTGGCCGCTTGGCCTTTTGGCCCTATGGGCCCTTGTGCTCAAAGCTGCTGCTGTGTTCGCTAGCAGGGAAACGCGTGCGCACGAGGCAGCCCAGCAGACACGGTCGTGACGCGTACACACAGCGATCATCCTTGTGAGATATTTAAAAATAACATTTAGTGAAAACTACACCCAAATGTCGCACAAAATAAATTTCATTTGCTTTAAAGTAGTTTAACACGTAGGCTTTCGCGACCCAAAAACGTTGATTATGAATTGTTTTAAAGTAGGTTTCATGTACTGCTGATATCAATGAATTTGGAATGTTACTATTTTATATTTAATAGTCTCTCTCCAAAGTGTTCGATTTCCATCATGTGCACCTTCGCCCTCATTGGCCGAGCTCTGGCTGCAGCGCCAGCAGCAGCAGCACCACTCGTGCCGATTGCCGCGAGAGAGGGGGGAGTGGGCGTGCGCACAGGAGCTGTGCATTCCCTCGTTCGTCACCAACTTGCTGATTAGGAGAGAATGTGATACGAGAAAGTGATGTATTATTTACGTATTTATTTAGAGTATTTAATTTTCCGAGACCAATATCATTATCCGCAAAACGTGTGCCTGTAATCTCAATCAGCCAGCAACATAACACCTGGGTCTGTCCTGTAACCTCCTGTGAGCAGCAAGCCTCCCACACTTCACATTAGGACTTAAAAGTGCAAGCGCTGTGGTGACGTTTATCGCCACTTGGTGGCAAATAGCGACTATTGTGTGCAGAGGTGGTGAAATTGTTCACACTGCTACAATCCCAACCACTCGGATTCCATCCCTGCACGTGCGTAACAGATGGACGTTGGTGTCCGATCCCAGCCTGGGCCTCCACTCGAGCTCAGCACAGTGCCTGGCAGGCAGGGTGATGTCGCCACTGAGGAACAAAGGTTGCGGGCACTCCCTGCGTGAGGTGGTTTCCCAACGGTGCCTTCCCTGAACCTCGTAAACATTGAATTCATTCATACCCTTAATGTTTAATCAGGTGAAAGTCCATTGAGGAAAAAGGAGATAAGAATTGTCATTTATTCGGAACTTAGATACTCCAGTATCTCAAAGCATCCTTACATCTCAGCTCAAGCATTCCAATGCCCAGCTGTAGTTTATTTATTTAGCCGAGGGGGACCCCCAATGGCAGTTGTCTGTGTTCGGCACAGGGTGACACGCAATGCGAGTGGACATGAGCCTGAAAGAGAGACTTCTAGGCTCTCTTACAGGTGATAAACACCAGCACAGCACAATAAAAAACTGAGTAAAAGCATATTACTTTTTGACTTAAAGCTTTCGTGACTGCAGGAATTCATATTCTTGGGTCTTTCGGTAAAGTCACGTAGATAGGTTCAAAGAAAATATAAAAAATAACAAAAAACTACGACGTTTCGATCACAACACAAGCAATCGTCATCAGTCGTCATCAGGAGAAAAAAGATTCGTGATCTGATCCCATCTGTTCAGGATGTGATCCCTGACATGCAATAAACTAAGCTGTGTCTGCGGCAGTAGTTACATTGGGGAAACTAAGCGACACGTCTCGGGCCGTGTTCGTGAACATAACGCAAATCTGAAACACGGTAGGACCAATACCTCGGCTGTGGCTGATCATTGTTTTAATGCGGTGGGCTCACGCGAAATTGATTTCTCTAAGACGAAGGTACTTTGCAAGCCCACTGGCTATCAACAAAGATTCGTTCATGAAGCCATCCATACATTTCGACAGACACAATTTCAACCGAGAAGATGGGTACAAACTGAGCAATCATTGGAAGGACGTTATTAACCAGTTTAAGTCATAACTGGCTGTGGTGTTTTACATTAACAGGTTAAATGGCAGTGACTCTGCGATCTTACATTGACATGCTAATTTCTCACTTTAACATCACTAGCCCCGCCCACTTCGTTTATGACCCTTGGGCTACACACATTTCAAACCTTTAAAACAGACTGCCTCAGCAGCTTTTCTCCTGGTGCCGATTGCTTGTTGCGATCGAAACGTCGTAGTTATTTGTTATTTTTGTTATTTTCTTTGAACCTATCTACGTGACTTTACCGAAAGACCGAAGAATATACAAACTACTTTTAAACATTTATCATATGCCTCGAGTTTCCTGGCTGGCTGCGCTCCCTCTCCACCCCAACAATTGCTGGGAAGCTGGCAAAATGGGATTTTCTGGGGAACAAATAATTGTTGAAGTGAAACGATGGAAGAAGTTCAGAAGACATAAAATAGATGGTGACACCGACAAGCCAGGAGTAATAAATACAGAAGACTGACCACATGGTCTACATGAAATTGCTCTAACTTTTCAATTTGTGCTCCAATTAATGTAATTATTTTGTCAGAATATTCTTTAAACCACAGAGATTATAAACAAATCCGTCACAATACATATTATATTGGCATTGTATTATTACATTTAAAAGCATATTACTTTCAGTGCTGAGGACAGCATTTTGAAAAGAGTACGAACATGATTGCTGTTATTGTCTATTGCAGAGCGACGGGTTCTCTACTTGTGCAATATTAAAAACATCCATGAGGTTTTTTTTGGGTTAGATCGCGTAAATATATAAATGTGTCGTTAAATCCACCACCACCAGCACAGCCAACTAGTAAGGGTTGTCACGTAAACAGAACATGCCAATTCGTCCGATTGTATGTACTGTTTACAAAGTGTGTTAACAAATCCACACTGAGAAACACGATGATTGAGGGGTGTAAATTATTTTTTCAAAAATGTATTTAAATAGAGGTACTGCAGGTAAATAGTTCAGTTTTAAAGCCATAGTTTAACAATACAACACTTGCCACCATCCTTCAAACCCATTGGTGAAAAAGAGCAAAGTTTGTGTTTACATTATAATGTAATGTTTATGCGAGAGCCGGGGGCTTATGGGACCCCAGGGTCCCGCCATAAGGTTCATATATGTACACACACGTGAGTGCACGTGTTCAT